TATATATACCATGTACAATATATATATAAACAAATATAATATAAATATACATATATATATATATATATGTAAATATAATTATATACACATATATATATGTATATATTTATATTGTTACATATATATATATATATTGTACATGGTATATGGTATATGGTTTATGGTATCTGTATACGTATGTGTATATATATATGCATATGTATATGTGTATGTATATCTATATGTATATGTAAAGGTATATGTATGTGTATGTATAGTATGCCTATGTACATATGGATGGATGCATGCATGGATGGATGGATATGCGTACGTTCGTTTGTTTGTGTCTTTGTGTCTTTGGTCGTGTCTTTGTTTGTGTTTTTGTTTGTGTCTTTGTTCGCATCGTTCTTGTTTGTTTGTTTGTTTGTATGTATGTATGTATGTATGTGTGTGTCTTTTTGGCTGTATGTCGGTCTGTCTGTATGTCTGTCTGTCTGTATGTAAGCATGCGTGCATGTATATCTGCATGTCTGCAAGTATGCACGTATGCATGGATTGCATGCCTGCGTGGATGCATGGATGCGTGCATTCATGCATGCATGCATGTATTTATGTAGTGCATGTAATGCATGTAATGGTGTGTAATGTAATTTAATGTAACTTAATGTAAAATAATGTAGTTTAACACAAGTTAATGTAATTCAACGTAATTTAACGTAATTTAACGTAATTTATTGTAATGAAATGTAATGACATTTAATCCATGTATGTTTCTTTCTATCTATCTATCTATCTATCCATTTATCTATCTATCTATCCATCTATCGATCTATCTATCTATCTATCGATCGATCTATCTATCTATCTATCTATATCTCTCTCTCTATCTATTTATTTATCGATCTATCTATCTATCTCTTTATCTCTATCTATCTATCTATTTATCTATCTATCTATTTATCTATCTATCTATTAATCTATCTATTTATTTATTTATCTATCTATCTATCTATTTATCTATCTATCTATATATCTATCTATCTATCTATCTGTCTGTCTATTTATCTATCTATCTATCGATCGATCTACCTATCTATCTATTTATCTATCTATCTATTTATCTATCTATTTATTGATCTACCTATCTATATTTCTATCTATCGATCTATCTATCTATCTATCTAATCTAACCTATTTATCCAATCTATCTATCTAACCTATTTATCTATATTTATGTCTATCTATCTATCTATCTATCTAATCTATCTATCTGACCTTTGTATCTATATTTCTGTCTATATATCTATCTATCCATTTATCTATGTATTTGTATATGCATGCATGCATGCATGCATGCATGCATGCATGTATGTATGTATGTATTACATGTATGTATGTATTACATGTATGTATGCATTTCATATAGGGTAGGAAATTGTTTGGGGATTATTTTTTTTTTAGTTTGGGGAATTTTTTTTGGATTTCCGGTTCTCACCATTTTCCATGCTATTTGCAGCATTTTGGAGCTGGAAACTGCCATTTCCACGGTATGTGCAACGGTTTTGAGTTCGAACCTCTCATTTTCCATTGTATTTTCCACGGTATTTGCAACAGTTTGCAGCATGTTCTGTCCATTTTCCATGCTCTTTGCAGCATTTTTGAGCTGGAATCTGCATTTCCACCGTATGTGCAACATTTTACAGCTACATTCCTCACAGTACTTGCAGGATTTTGGAGCTGAAGGCTGACATTCCAACAGTTGTTTGTTGTTACTGTTACTGTTGTTGGTGTTGGTGTTGGTGTTGTTGTTGTTGTTGGTGTTGTTGTTGTTGTTGTTGTTGTTGTTGTTACCGTTAGTGTTGTTAGTGTTGTTAGTGTTGCTAGTGTTAGTGTTGTTAGTGTTGTTATATATATATACAATATATATATATACAATATATATATATATATACAATATATATATACAATATATATATATACAATATATATATATACAATATATATATACAATATATATATACAATATATATATATACAATATATATATACAATATATATATATATACGATATATATATATATATATACAATATATATATATATACAATGTACATATATATATATATTCTAACCAAAGTAGTGTATTGAAATGTGTGCAAGCTTGAATTTAAATAAAAAAAGCGGGAGGGGTGGATTGGGGGGGAGGGCGCAGCGCCTCCCCCCCAAAGCAGATTGGAAACACCTATTTTCACATGCAAGGTGCTAGGTTGAATGTGATACTCAAGGTGTATATACTACACGACATGCACCTTGGAAACATGTGGAATGTAGGTTAAGGCACAACAATGCACAATAGTTTCATTTGATGTTATCATCGAGTTGGTTTAAGATCTATTTATATAAGGTTTGGTTCAGGGTTGGCTTGGGGTTTGAATATCATCCGCATGATAATGCAAACCTTTTAGGTAGATATATATATATACAGATATATATAGATATAGATATAGATATATAGATAAATAGATATATATATTTAAAGATATATAGATATAAAGATATATGTATATATACATATAGAAATATAGATAGATATATACAGATATATAGATATATGGTGGTATATAAATATATATATAGAGAGAGAGATATGGATATATAGAGATATATTTATATATATAGATATATAGATATATAGTGTGTATATATATATAGAGAGATATAGATATATAGATATATAGATAGATATGTATAGATAGATAGATAGATAGATAGATAGATAGATAGATAGATAGATAATTAGATAGATAGATAGATAGGTAGATAGATATATAGATAGATAGATATATATGTATATAGATATCTAGATATAGATATATATAGAGATATATAGAAATATATAGATATATATATAGATATATATAGAGATATATAGAGATATATATATATATAGATATATATATATATATAGATATATATATAGATATATATATATAGAGATATAGATATATAGATATATAGATAATTATATAGATATATGATATATATAGATATATAGATAGATAGATATATAGATACAGCCATAGATGTAGATATAGATACAGATATAGATAGACATAGATAGATATAGATACGTAGATATAGATAGATATAGATAGATATAGATGGATATAGATGGATAGAAGATGTTGCTCCACACCTCATGGAAAAGCAAAAAAGCAAAGAAAAGCAAAAAAGCAAAAAAGCAAAGAAAAGCAAGAAAAGCAAAAAAGCAAAGAAAAGCAGAAAAGCGAGAAAAGCAAAAAAGCAAAGAAAAGCAAGGAAAGCAAAAAAGCAAAAAAGCAAAGAAAAGCAAGAAAAGCAAAAAAGCAAAGAAAAGCAAGAAAAGCAAAAAAGCAAAGAAAAGCAGAAAAGCGAGAAAAGCGAGAAAAGCAAAAAAGCAAAAAAGCAAAAAAGCAAAGAAAAGCAAGGGAAGCAAAAAAGCAAAAAAGCAAAGAAAAGCAAGAAAAGCAAAAAAAGCAAAAAAAGGAATAGAAGCAAAGAAGCAGAGAAGCACTGCAGGAGGCAATAGAGTAAGCAGGAAGAAATCCAAAAAAAAATCCCTAAACTAAAAAAAAAAAAACCTAAATAAATGGCCCTCCATTACTATATGGCAGTTTCCTTAAATTGGGGTACCAATCATCCAAGTCATGAACGACCATTTTAGTATGGAAACCTATGGCGACGACTGGGGATCCTCCCCTCCAGCATGGGCTCCCCCACGTCCAGCCGGTTGAAGCTGCTGCGCAGCATCTCAACATCCACCAAGGCAGAGGCAGGGGCCAAGGCAGCCACGAAGCGAGAGAATTCCACCACTCCGCCTGGCGAAAGAAGCGAAAGAAGCGAACATGAGAGGATCAGAGGACCTATACCTGGTGAATACCTGGTAAATACACAGTAAATACCTGGTATTCAAGATAGAAATCAGCTTCGGTGGTATCCCCAACAACAGCCGCAACGTTTTATTGTTACAAATTCTTCTGAAGCGTGCTGCGAAGCCAAGCGCTGGAAACACCTCAGCTGGGTTCCCGTGAATTAAATGGCCGCAAATCCTGTTGAACCTAATATGGTTCTGTACCAAAGCCTCCCAGACCTTCTCCAGAACCTTCTCCGGAACCTTGTTGAACCTGACCTGGCTCTGCACCAAAGCCTCCCGGAACCTTCTCCGGAACCTTCTCTGGAAGGAACCCTGTTGAACCTGGCTCTGCACCAAAGCCTCCCAGACCTTCTTCGGAACCTTCTCCGGGACCTTCTCTGGAGACTCTGGAACCTTCTCCGGAACCCTGTTGAACCTAACTTGGCTTTACACCAAGGCTTCCTGGAACCTTCTCCGGAACCTTCTCCGGAACCTTCTCCGGAACCTTCTCCGGAACCTTCTCCGGAACCTCGTTGAACCTGACCCGGCGCCTGCACCAGTGCACACCGGAGCTATTTTGGGCTGAAGACCCCATTAGCTTACACTATTAGACTATTGGGGAAAAATTGTGAAACTTGCCTATGGGCCTATGGTCCATCATGGTCCTGGGTCCCTACCATGGTCGATGACATGACACTGATGAAGCTGTAGATCCCAACTCAGTGGCATCAGCTGAATGCCAGAGACTTCGCTCCCAGGGTAGCACTCATTATCTGATTATCCATGTGATAAGTTCTTGTCCATAAACCATCCCCCAATTGGGAGGTATTAGAAACCGGTACAGTAAAAACAGATGGTTCTGGCTTTCGGCTTGCCACGTTACAGTTACAACTTGATCATTTGGGATTGTGTCAAGCTTTGGGCGCCGGACCCACAAAGTTGGATCGTTTTCTGGACCTTCAACCCTTTTGGGATCAGCACTCATATAATATAGCTTATCTTCGATTAACTGATTAACCAGCTGGTCATAACTCCACTCAGTTAACAGCAGGCAAACCAAACAAAAAACATCTGAATTAAGTATAAGGCTATAATTCCCATTCATTATTCGTGTTATATTATGTTATATGTCATATTTTTTCACATGTATTATCCATTGTTATCCATATTTCACAAATAGCTTCCGCTTCAGCCAACGCTTTCGTTCCACGGCTCCCACGGGAACTTCGGCCTGCACCTTTGGCCAGGCGCTTGGCTGCCTCCAGCGCCATCTCAGCTCCAAGGCCAGCCAACTTCAAGGCCTCCGACAGCTCCGCCTGTCGATGGAAAACGCATCTCCACGGAGTCTGTGGAGTCTGTGGAAGAATTTCTGAAAGGAATGGAGAACCCAAAAATCATTGGAGAACAATGAAGAGAGAAACAAGGCAAAGTTGAAGAGAGAAACCATGAAATTCGCAGGCGTCGCTGTCTGACACCAACCCTCATGGGCCTCGTCTAACATGCCATTGCCATCCTTGTCTACGGACTCGAAGAGGCTGATCATCTCTCCTTAGATGGTCATGTAAATAGCAGTGGTGATGATGGTGATGATGATGATGGTGGTGGTGGTGGTGGTGGTGGTGGTGGTGATGGTGATCATCATCATCATCATCATCATCATCAACAACATCATCAACCAGTATCATTGTATTTATTGGTATCATTATCTTTATCATTATCATTGTCTTTATCGTTATCATTATATATTATATATATACATCTTTATCATTATCGTCATGTGTTCTCATTACTAGTGTTGTTATTATTGTTATTGGTAGCATTAGTGGCGTCATTGTTATCATGATTACTGTCATTGGTACTTGCTGTATTGTGTATGTATCGTGTTTAATGCTGGACACATCTCAGAAATCTCAGAGCTGACCAATAGGCCTAGAATTCTGCGGCAAAGGATCTGAGTTGTTTCAATGGCAGCTGAGAAGAGAGGTCCAATAGAACTGCCTGGCGGCGAAGTGAATCACTTCCCAGAGTGCAAACTGTGGCTTTTTGAATGCCCCACACTCCAAATCAAAGTAACCAGCAAAACCAAAGGGGCCCAAAATGGCCCAAAGCATGCCCAAATCATAAATAATAATTATAATAACAATAATAATATAAATTATATAGTTAAAATATGTTAAAATCATCTCACCATCTTTTGGACAATATCTTCCATCCCACCCAATCATCCCATCATCCCATCCTCCCATCCTCCCATGCCTGAGCTAAGGGATTGATCCGGTGGAACTGGAGGAGGCTCTCCAGCTGTTCGGTGGAGATCTGTCCTGAAGCCTTGGAACTGTGTAGCCAGCAATGACCTCGGGCGATCAGCAACTGGTGGCTCGGTTTTTTGGGAAGCCATTAGGAAAAATCAATGGAAAATCATGAGGAAGTGCATTTCTAGTTGAGGATCACCTATATAATTCATGATATGATATTGAATTTTATATGCATATAATTTAATATATATTTGTATATAACGTCTATCTTGGGGAGACACAACTCCTGACCCAACAAAAGCATGCCATCAATGTTGCCCCTTTCCCGAACCCACCAAACATCCTCTGGCACCATCTTGAGCCACGACCATCCTCGACCCACATGCTTTTAATCTGCTGAAGCTGCTTTTTCAGTCAGCTGATGGAGCAGGATTGCTTCTGGCGTCGCCGTGCACAACTGGCCCAGCTGGGCCAATTACTCTCACTTGGCTCAGGGTGGTAATCCCTCAAGGCAGCCTCTGCAAGATCGTTGTCCAAACATTCCTTGGATTGCCACTTCAGGAAAACATGCCTTAGACCTGGTGGCACATCACTATGATGATGATAAAACAGTGGCATAATGCAGCCATGATTCGTAACCAAAGTGCTCACTAGCCTTGGGTCGGGAGGGGGTCGTCGTCGTCAGGCTGTTCAGCAGCTTCTGGCAATCCACGCCCTCCCACCCTGGGACCCTGTACTGAGAGTTTGCCCCCGCTTCGAGCAAGACCTTTGCAGCAACGGCATGGCCATAGTGAGCAGCAAGAAGTAGTGGCGACACCTCATCTTCATTAACGCTTTCGACATCAGCTTTTGCTTCCAAAAGGGCCTGGATTACCCCCACATTTCCCCCACTCGCAGCGTGCAACAAGGCATCACTTCCATCCTCCGACCTCGCAGTCAGGTCGGCCCTGGCATCCAACAAGGCGCGAACCACAGCGGCATGGCCACCTCGTGCTGCGACCATCAGGGGAGTACTGCCATCATATGCCAGGTAGGTGTTGGGAGACTCACCATTGGCCAGCTCTGACTGGACCTCCTCCAAGACGCCTTTGCGGCTGTACTCAAAAAGTGCTCGGCCAGGCTCCTCACTCATGGCCAGGCAAAGCGCTGGTGCAAACAGATGATAGAAGATACCATTTAATGGCCAAGGGGGTTCTTGCATTTTGGAGTTGCAACGTCATTTGGCTAATCCGCTCGTCTATGTGTAGAACTTTGCAATTCCTGCGTATGTTCATGCACTTGGTGTCTCTGCGCATGTTCGTGCAGGCAAAAAAAACGTTGGCTAAAGGACAGAGGTGGCCACAGATGAATGTTCAGCTGGTGGCATCAGCACATATTCATGGGGACATGTCTACGCCACAAAACTCCCGACCAAAAATCTCAGGGCTTGAGCCGGAGATCCCATTCATCCAAACTAAACCAGGGGTTGCAGAGTCTCCATTTGAACATCACCCAGCCACTAAGACAATCACTACCAACGACCTTCTTCCAGTGATGTTTGAAATCTCCAGACGGGACATATAATTCCACTTGATTCCAACTTTATGCCAGCGGCAGATACTTGGTTTTAATCGCACTTATACCTGCAAGTGGAAAGGGCTCATCTGTATGAAGGGTTGGAAATCCAGCCCCCTAGCCCTGAGCTTCGAGCTGAGCGCTTGTCGCATGGAAGGCCGCTGCTCCTGACATCTTCGGAGGTCGGTTTAGTCAGTTTGGTGGCTCGTCAGGACAAGTTGCATCTGAGTGCATAGATCTGTTCAAACATTATTGAGGCACAAAACGTGGCACTACCTGTGATTTGCTTGAGGCTTGCTGGATTTGTCAGCTGAAACCAAGAAATTGTCTGAAATAATATGGCTGCTGCCCGTGCAGGTCGCAGCGCTTGGTCCTTGTCAAAGGTTAGCAACTTTCCAATGAGGTCCTATTGCAGGGCAATGTTGGACGGGGAGATGCGGGGAGGAAGGGGCGGCATCTCTGAACTCTCTACACTCTACGTAGTATGCAGGTTTTAAAGTCAATAGCTGCTCCCAAACGAAACATTCTCTCAATGGCCACAGGCCAATCACCTTTCCCTTGGTAAATCCATTTCACCCCTGACCTGTCGTCTGCATCACCAACCTCCCAACCAAACTCCAGGCCTTGGCTTCGTCCGAGCATTCCAACCTGGTCAACACAGGAATGATGCGGTGCGGGGCTGCAGGGGCTCCATCAACTTGCAAGAGAACATTTGCAGTTTTCTCGTCCCAATTTGTTTCATCAGAATGACCAGTAGATTCAGTAGATGGCATGATCTTGGTACCACATGGTACCACCACTTCCGACAAATTCCAAGGCCAATGCATTTGACATTTGTGGCACATGCCCACACTCTTGAAGGTCTGAGCTATCAGAGCTCGACAAATGTTCTGCCAATTGCTGGCAGCTGCACCATGATTTCAGGCCTCTTTAAGTTCGGGCCTTCCTTCTGCCGTACCAAGTATGCTTTCAGCTCCTTCCATGGAACTGAGCAACACTGCAACACTCCACTCCAACCATCTCCAAACCAACATTTCACATCATTTCACGGAGCTCCTGACGTGACTCGTCTGGGGGCGGAGTAAAGGGGTAGAAGTAGTCATACAGCTCCACGGTCTGAGTTCCGCCTGCGGTCAAACTTACCCCCTTTGCCATTCAAGCTCGGTCCAGTACAACAGATGGAACAGTAGCACTCACTTGCCAAATCCACAATGAGTAAAGCATATGCAAAATTATGCAACCATAGACAGATTCGCCTTTTCCATCTACAAACAGTCCGCAGAACAAACCAACATCCTCCACAGCAAAGAGCCTTCTCCCTTGAGATGGTCTTCTAGGCGCAGAGGCCGATGGCAGAGCAGCGCGTACAAACAGCAGCCCAAGGACCAAACGTCGCATTTCGCATTGAAGCTACCACGCACCACTTCCTCGGAGCGTACCAAGACGTATCAGGTGCAACGGCAATTTGTAGTGTGGGTTGTGCACATGATCCACTGCTCAAATCAGGCACCGGGCAAACTAAACCAACCTCGACCGAGGTTTGTCCAACTGCTTGAGGAAGCAACAGGCTAGTCACATTCATATACAGTCTCGAAACTCCTAGATTTCAACCCAGAACATCCAGGTCCAGGACGGTCCAGCTGCTTCCAGGCAAAATACTTTTTGTGACCCAAACAATTGAGGCCTTCTCGCCGGCCATCAAGCCCCGTGGTTGGGGTTGAACCATGTTGAACCCCTATTGTTGAGGTTCTGCCTTTGGAGGATGACATCCCCCCGTCTCCCATCTGCCCAGCCATGGCACCGGTGCCATGGTGGCCAACGTCCCCGCCGGATCCGCCGAGCGGAAGGAATCGGCCTCAGAGACGGGGAAGAGCTCGGCCAGGCCCACGTCGATGACCACCGCCTCCGGAGGATCCACCGAGGCCAACATGATGTTCTCCAACTTCAGGTCCTGGCCCAACTGACCCCACCCTGACCCTGAAAAGCCGAATTTATGGAAATGGTGTGGGTCCACTGAAATCAGAAAGATTGTCCATTTTTGAAGAGGCAATCTGGTGAGGTGTTGGAGGTAAAGCCAAAGCGATCTCTCAGTGTGGCTTAATATGCCACAATCCAAGGTCCAATGATTGACGGCAATCAACATTCCCAGGCCCAGAAAAAATGAACGTGGTCCTTGTGCATGATTCCCTTTGCATGGCAGTAAGCAACTCCTGTGACGCGAATACAAATTTCACATGCTGCTGGCGTAAGTTGTCAGTTGGTTTTCGGCCTTGCTTCTGTGCACAAGTGTTACTGACATTTATATAAACAAGTAATCCTAAAGTGATGCCGCAAAAGCAGGTTGGAAAAGCTGATCAAAATTGTTCCAAAATTGTAGCATCTAAGCACTGATGTTCCATCATGTTTCATCAGCCTTTCTGCTGGATACTGAGCCAGGGACCTTCAGAGACTTGCCGGAAGACATCCCTCACCCAAGGCTCCTGAACGCCCGATGATTGCCAGTGAGCGTGTGGACCTTCATGATCCAATCCAACACTTCTTTCGTTCTTTGGAGTGTCCATTTTTCACCAGATTTCATACCACATGCTGTCACATGCCTCTTGGTCTAGAATTTATCTATGTCTATATCATTCTAACTATCAGCTTCTTTGAGCGCTCTTGTCTTGTAGGCTCTTGGATCTCTTGGTTGAATTCAACTCAACGTATACAACTTGTATCAACTTGTGACCATCTGTACCTATCAGATACCTATCACTTCCTGACCACCAGCGCAGTTGCGCAGCTCCTCCAAGTACTTCTTCTTATTGTGCGAGCCCTCCACTGCATCAAGCAGGTCTCCTCCTGCGCCGGATCCGGATGCAGCTCAGACTAGGGGTTGGCATGTCCCTTAGTACATAGTACTGGGTGGTATGTGGTGACATTTAATAAAAACATATCATATATAAATTATATAAATTAAATACATGACTAAGCCATCCCCATCCCATCCACTTGAAGGTTTACAGTCTGGGGTCGCATTTTGAGGATGGTATCGGATAGATGAGCACTTCGCCAGGCGCACAACCGAGCCTGGAAGCATATCGGTGATGAGGTACAAATTCCTTTCATCCGCGCAGTACTCAAAGAGACGTAGCACCGCAGGATGGTCCAAGGTTCGAAGCTTGTCGATTTCCTACGGAGGCGGCCGAAAGATGTGGGACCAGATGGTCTGTCCCAAAAGAAAGAAGAGTTCGCAAATTTTGGAAAGTTGGAGGTGAGTTGATTGTTCTTCAGGGGGTCCCTAAAATCCGGGAAAAATGCAATCTACCGTTTTCCAACGGAACGGCATTGCCGAGCACACATCAAGAAGAATTGTCTTACCAAAACCATCATCCGCTCCCAGCTTCCCTGCCTCCATAATCAGTTTCAGCGGGTAGCCTGGGAGGGCACCAGCTCACAGGGCCAGGTGCGATCTTGACATCCCAGTCGAAAAGAATCACAAGCACTACATTGCAGATCCGGTAGCATGGCTATGGCATCTATGGTCCCCTGGAACAGGCAGCAATCCCTTTCCCCCACAGCAAGCTGGGGGTCATCGGGTCATCCTTGGCTTCCAAGACACCTCCACTGAGTGCTTTCTGCTTGTCCACTACTTTCATGACTCGCGTGGCTCCCGTGCTTCGACACCTGGGCAGGGACATGTTGCAGGGAACACACAGGAGCTACTGTATGGTCATGCACTGTGTACCCTCCAGCAATCCAATCCAATCCTGGCAAGGAAAGAATCCTTCTTTGGGTCAAGTCCTGGGTGTCCGTGCTGTACCTTTCTGACCACGCCAAAAGATCCCACGCCAACAATGCCCTGAACTCGGTAATCATCTTCTGGCTTTCCCTGAGCCGTCAACCGCCAACGAATCTCCCACAGGCATCCCAGCGAAAGCTAGCATCAAGCTAGCATCAAGCTAGCATCAGAACCTTCGAGTTTGCCTGAGAATGATGTAATTGTCCCAAAAACCCATGGACTATCATCATGCTCCCCATGAAAATTGCCATAAATTGAGGTATCCCCCCATTCTTAACAAAACAAATGGTACGTAATAAACATCTGAACCCGCCTTGCGTCGGTTGATGAACATGTTGCGAGAGAAGTCCACAGGTTCCACCTGGCATGGCCCAACCTACACTCGGGCACGCCGCCAGACCTTTTCTCCCTTAAGTTGGGCCATTTCTCCCTGGCAACTAGCCATCCCAGAGAGTCAACTGATTCAGTTCACCTGCCGTAGTAGTGATACGCAAGGATACCCCATCAAATCCCCATCAATAGAAACTCCCATTTTGAAAAAGCAGCCGCCTCTTCAAGCTTCACCATGAGCAGGACCCGATAAAGCTCTTGGAACCTGCCAGGTGCGTTGGTGTCGGTCTCTCCGGGGAACATCCCTTTTAAAAAAAAAGTGCGAAACTTTGCAAAGATTTGCCAGCACCACTGGCCCAGCACCTCCGTTTCTCCAAACCCTCCCATCTGCCCCGTTGCCACCGGGCCGGATGCTGCCAGGCCACTCCTCTTGGCTCAGGAGCTTGTCCTGATCCGTGTCGAAACGCTGCAGGTAGTGCTCTACATGGCGCTCCGTGAACTTTCCAATGCCAAGCTCGGCGTTCATCTTCTGCATGCACTGCAGCAACTCCTCAAAGCCTGGTTATGATGTTTGTGCTTCAAGATCACAGTGTTCTTGGTGAGATTTTCAAGTTTTAGGGGTATGTGACGCAATTCTATGCAAATATCAATGCAGCGATTTCCCAAACATGAAATAACCTTGTAATTTCATGCGACATGTACTAGTAAGCTGCTAGCAGACTTGTTCGTAATTGTCGTTTCTGGATTGTGCGCTGGCCTTCGGTACAAGAATCTAAAGTACCAGACTCAAAGAAACACTGTCAAGACATGCCGTTCTTTGGTGGCACTGGCCCTAATCACTCATGCGACATTCAGGCGACACATACATCTACGGAAACCGCTATGAAACCACTATTTACCCTTGTGGGTCAGAGCTGACAAGGCGTTCCACTCGAACCACTTTGGAAAACTTGTCCCATTCCTGTGAACCTCAAGCTTCGAGCTGCCGAGTAGCTGAGTTCACCGTCTCCATTTACATCTGCGTTGCTGAAGCAAGACCTCTATAGAGTGCAACAACGCTGTTGTACATGAGAACAAATCAGCAAGCTTCAAAAAGACTCCTTTAAGGTAGAATGCCCTGCACCACCATTGCAGAAACCTCCAAGCTGGGTCTTCATAATCTGTTCCTCAAATCGATCGATTTGATTTGGCTATTATGTATATATACATATTTTGTAGTACTCCAACGTCGCACCAGGGCCTAATCAAATGAACTGTCAAGTGGTCCCATCAAAGCACGGCCTGGAATATTTCTGGAGTTTGTGCTTATCGTCCAAGACCTCCCTGATCAGATTGGCATCACCTTGGCCAGGCAACAATCTATGAAGAGTGCTGGTCATTCTGCTTGTGTTCCCAGCTGGAGATCATTGAGCTACTGGCTGTGAAGCTTCTGCAATGCCTCGTATGTCTCGCTTTCAAAGCTGGATCGCAGAGGCATTGTTTTGGCGGTTTGGAGCTTCTTGTCTCGCGCAATGTTCTTATGCTCCTTCCAGCGCGGGATAGGAATTGCAAAACACACAAGACCCGATGGTCCAAATTGTCATTCCCTTGCCTTACCTTGCCTTGGAGAGAGTTTGTTCACTTCAGGAAAGTCGTAGCAATGGGGGAACTGGCCAGTAAAGATGGAGAGCTTTCATGAGTTTTCCATAGTTTACAAAGCCGTTACAAAGCCGTTACAATCATTATACTCAATCATTATAATATATTATAATCATTCAGAATTGGGATGTAGCCAATGTAGCCATGAACCAGGGTGAACTCAGCAGCTTCAACCGACTCCTCCATTCGCATCGTCTCTCGCGTTGCAGGACTTCGTGGGCCTCGAGCTGTGGCCTCAGTGTGGCTCCGATCAAAAAATGGGGGATTGATATGATAGGATCAGAACCTGTGATTCCATATGATTCCTATAATATGTGTAGCTTGGGATCATGAAAATGAGAAGCATGATTCATGGCATGATGAACATCCACTTACATCCATTTACATCCATTGACCGGCGATTTCTCCCAGGGTGCCAAGTCGCTGCTGGAACGGCAGAAACCGCCCTTGCCAATGCTTTTGGTGACGGCGGCGCGCTGATCCTCAACAAGACTGGGGCGCCACAGCATCGTCACGGGTCTACTTTCAATCTTCCGGGATATCTTTTGGATGGTCTTGGCAGAATATCATCACTTCTTTTTACCAATGCGGGGATGGGTCAAAACCTTGTACCCCTGGTAAACATCAAAATAGCTTGTAAATGGATGTTCATTCCCCTAAAAATGGCATTTATCGGTATTGATCCATGGCCATGTTGCCAAACAACTAGTGTTTCTTGGATGGGATATATGATATATGATATATGATATTGCCAAACAAATAATCTTGGCTCACTCCTCACACCTCACCCAGGTTCCCTCCAGGCTCCCCAGCCGTTTCACTGGGGATCCTCCCTTCTGTGGTGTGCCCGGGACGCTCTTGGGGCTCTTGGGTGCCGGGGGTGTGGAACTCACTTGGCCGGGGAGATTGGCTTTGGGCACCGGTGGCGTCATCAGCTTCCGCTCGGGGGAGCGGACACCTGGAGCCCAGGGTAGCCAAACCACACCATATTGGGTTCGAGATTTCAGGCATCGGTTGCCACTGGCCCTCACTTGCATGCGCATTGCAGTTTGTGTGTCAGCATAATTTTGAAAACTTCACAGAACCCAGTCGTGAATGATGTGTGTGTGTGTGTGCGCCTGCCTGCATGTGTGAAAAAGAAGGTACGTGTATTTGTTTAAAATACGTACATATATATATACAGTATATATATATATGCGTGTGTGCGTGCGTGTGTGTACATACATGTGTGTATATATATATATATATCTCTCTCTCTCTCTCCCTCTCTCTCTCCGTGCGTGTGTGTGTGTGTGTGCGTTGGTGAAAATATTCAAAAAAACAATTCATATATATATATATATATTAATATGGGTTACATTGGGTTACTAACCACTTCCAATCTCCAGGGCGTCGCTGGGCCTGTTCCACTGGCCGGAGGCACCACCAGCCGTGGCGCGGGGCGGAGCACCGACACGGGGCTCTGGCCGCGCCTGGCAGGCGATGAGCGATGGTCCTATGACAAGTAAATCGCAAAGGTTTCATGCACATATGGTGGTGATATATAAATATTATTTATGTGTGTGTGTGTGTGCATTTGCTTGTTTAAAATATCTATCATTATCTATCTAGTTTGCTATTTATCTAATGTATTTGATTTTTGCTATTATGTGCACATAAATTGTATTAGAACGAGTTGAAGAGTATGGTGTGTGTGTGTTTCTGTGCGCATGTGTGTGTGTGTGTCATGTGATATTCCAGTTTCAGACTATCCGCACCAGCAGAGTTTCCCTCATTGCACAACCACACCATTCAGATCCACACCCCAACGCCTTGCTGTAAGGCCGGTCTGCGTCTTAGCTTTTGCTGCATCTCTCCCTCTGCCCACCATGTCCACACCTGGCAAGACAATTCGTTGACGGAGCCAAAAAAGGACTGGTATGATTTCTATGCATGGAACAGAGGATTACAGCTTCAAAAAACCACAGCTCTGCCATGTTGTGATTGGGCTTTGGTTCAATAGCTTTCATTCATAGACATTGTGACATTTGGCTTACTGCTGCAAGAGCTCGGCTGAAAACACCTCTCAAACGCTATCTAATGCCTCCAGGGTCCGGCCCCCACAAATTGTGATTTGATGGCACTTCGACACAATCCTATTGCCATACCCTCACCATCTGCACCTGTTTTCGACCGGATCAGGACTTTGTGGTTCGGCTGTGGTGGCTGTGGGGTACTTCGACCTGAGTGCTGAGCTGAACAGCTGAAACCGCTGAAGCTCACAGGCGACGTCCACACACCTCCACCGGTCTCTAGTCGTCCCTCGGGCGATTTGGCTCGGGCCTGACCTGGCAAGCTTTTGAAAGGCCGCTGGAGACCAAAGGGCCAAAGGGTAAATTGAGACTGAGTAAATGCAATAAGAAATGAGGGGTAACTGTTTGACTCAGGAAAAAGATCGCCAGTGCAGTACATGTTTTTCAACTAATGAAACAACCACTTTGTCCTGACGATTGGTTCTGAGGAGTTTGATGGTGATCTTTCCGCCCAGGCCCCAATCTCACCTGAGGGCTTTGGGCAAGCCACGAAGACCTTGCCCTTGGCTGAGCAGTTTCGGTGGCAGAGGTTAAACGGTTAAGCTGTCTTATGAAATCTTGATTCGCGGTCCTCATGATATCTCACAGTGCCAATGTGTGATATGAGGTCGGCAGCTAGTACAAGCACCACGCACTCAACCACTCAACTTCACATGAAGCAAGCTGGACCGAGACCCATGTGCGCGAAGGTGTGACGAAGGTGTGACTGAGACAATAGTAGTATCGTCATCATTGTCATTCATATTCCTCCTGTTCGTCATCATCGTCAGCATAGTCGTCATCATCATCCCCACAACCACCATCCTCAACAACATCGCCGTCTTCGCATAGCAATGAGAATAAGTAATGACCACAGGAGGATCACCCAACTGCCTTTTCCCGAGGGTTTGCCAGCAAGAGGCTTGGGCAGGGGCTTCACTGGTCTTTGGCACTGTTTTTAGCAAGGTTGTCTCGGGTGTCACGGGTGTTGGGCAAGGACTGGTGCCTGCAGCATTGAACTGGTGAGACCAGAAATCTGAGAGCTGGAAAAACAGTGAAAAAAAGATGAGAGAAGATGAAAGAAGTTGGTTTTCAAATCTTAGGAAAATCATCATATATGCTCAGTCCAATCAACCTTTTTTTAGGCAAAGCAACCACCAACACGCACCACCATGACAGCCACAGTAATGCACAACGCCTGCCTTTGCCTTTCTCTGCCTCCCAGGGGCTACTGGAAGGTCCTATCTTGACCATCTTGTGAGTTGTTTCTAGTCTATAGCCCATATGGGGGTTGCCACTAAACATAGGATACCGCCAAATTGGATGGGTCATCATTATTCCCTATTCAAATGGCCATTTCGGGGGCATACCCTTCCATTCAGTGAGAATTAGATTTCCGCGAACGACCTCCGCAAACTCCAGTCTTAGCCATGCTGGCGGACCATCCACCTCCAGCATACTCCACTAGTGCCAGGGTGCCAGGGTCCAATGTCTGGGGCATGATGGTCGAAACACAATCCAACAGATCTAAACATCCAGTTATACAGAGCATGTTGTAATTGCAAAGACCATGGGCGATTCACTAGGAAAGTAAAGGTATTAAACTGTGTTTGTGTGTTCAAAAGTATGGGTCTATGTGTGTATGTGTGTATGCAACTTAACGTAACGTAACGTGACGTAACGTAAGGTAACGTAACGTAACTAGTAAGGTAAGGTAGGGTAACGTAACCTGACGTAACGGGACGAAATGTATTGTAATGTATGTATCCAAGGGAATGCGATGCAATGCAATGCAATGTAATGTATGCATGTGTAAATACATATGTATTTATATGTGTGTATCTGTGTATCTGTGTATGTGTGTGTGTGTGTATCATTGTATGTATGTATGTATGTATGTATGTATGTATGTATGTATGTATGTATGTATGTATGTATGTATGTATGTATGTATGTATGTATGTATGTATGTATGTATGTATGTATGTATGTATGTATGTATGTATGTATGTATGTATGTATGTATGTATGTATGGATGTATCTTACAATGTATGTATGTATGCAGCATGTATCTTACCATGTATGTATCTAACAATGTATGTATCTTACAATGTGCGTATCTTTATCTTACAATGTATGTATCTTACAACGTATGTATCTTACAATGCATGTATCTTGCAATGTATGTATCCCACAATGTATGTGTCTTACAATGTATCTATATTACAGTATATGTATGTTACGATGTATGTGTCTTATAATGTATGTATCTTACAATGTAAGTATCTTACAAACTATGTATCTTACAATGTATGTGTCTTAAAGTGTATGCATCTTACAATATATATATGTATATATATATATGTATATATGTATATATGTATATATGTATATATGTATATATGTATATGTATATATATACGTATGTATATATATATACGTATGTATATATATACGTATGTATATATATATACGTATGTATATATATACGTATGTATATATATATATGTGTGTATATATATATATATATGTATGTATGTATATATATATATATATGTGTGTGTGTTACAATGTATGTATCTTACAATATATATATATATGTGTGTGTGTTATAATGTGTGTAACTGTATGCGCGTGTGCAATCCATATACGTTTGCACAAACGTCCGTAACCTCAGATATGCACGTATACACGTGTGCGTAAGCATATTCACAATATACACACCAATATCGAAGAAGATCTTGATCAGAAGTAATAGACTAAGTTAGGTGTCAAAAACCCAACTCGTCCATCTCACAATACCTGTTGATTCTGAAGACTGAGCTACTCAGGATCTACTTTACCCATCTTTACCCCTGATCCAAAAGCATTGGATACCCCTGACCTAATTGCAGCAAAAGAGCTGCGATAGTTTCATGATTTGATGGATTTGCGCTCCCTGGACGTAATTAACAATCGGAAAAGGCCAACAAAACTCAGGGAAGTATGTCTAGGAACCCCTGTGCAATATTGGAAACTGACAGGAATCTTGAAGACTACAGTTTCAGATGATCTTTGGGCACCTCAAAACGCTACCCAGACCAGTTTCTTCCCCAACTCCTAGGGCTGCGCACTGCGAGCGCTTGTGCAATTGATGCAGTTGAGCTGACGGAATCTCGACGGAACCTCAGCGTCACAGTCATGACAAAATTGTGCCAAAGCACCTGAAACGCCATAACTCACAGAAATCGAGATCAAACTGAAGAAGTTTGGTGTTCACAAAGGTATGCTACCAAGGGTTCCCGAAAGCAGTGAAAATCTGTAGGTGTTTTCAACCTTCCTGACCAATATCAGCCGCCTGGGACCATGACCCCAACTAAGAGGCAGATAAAACACAGAGATTGAAAGCACGAATTGAAAGCACAAACCATGTTTTTGTTCGAAAAGATCGTGCTCCCATCCTCCCAAAACATCCCAAAACGCCAAGCCCAGAGACGCTGCTGTCGAGGTGGAATTATCTGGCGAAGGAGGTGCAGTGGAGAACGAGGAGCCAATGGTGTCCATTCGCTCCTTCACCCGGGCCCACATCATCCCAGGTGGACTTGGTAAAGTGGTTAGGGAGTGAAAGGCTGGTAGGCTGCCCATTCCTGCCATCATCTCACACACGGAGAGATATATACATATATATATACATATAACATCATAAATACATGTGCGTGCGTCTGTGTATAAAAATGTGTATGTATATGTTTGTATATAAAAATAAAAATATATATATATACATATGCATAAACATATACATATACATATACATGTGTCTGTGCGTGTGTATGCGTGTGTGTGTGTGTTATGTTTTTTCCCCGCGGAAATCCAACGCCACAGAATGCCATGGCAAGAGTTTGGCTGCTACAAATCCTGGTGTCAGCCATCAACTTCACCTCCTCACTCGATTCTGTGAAGCAACGGGACCCACATCCATTCCACCTACTGGGAGGTGCAGTTCCACTTAGAATTGGATATCTAACACTTAACACCGTCTAATCATACTATACCATACTAACCCATAGTATACCATAGTCAAAGGGTGATCCCAACCTATTGGGGATTTGATGAAAATCCCATTTGTATCTCCAGTTTTTTTCACCCCAACTGCACCGCGTCATCGCCCCTGAGGTGCTCACCAGTAACTTGCCCCGGATGTCTGCCCAATTCGGCTGGTTTGGCTTCAGCGGCGCTGCAACCACCCGTGGCTGGGCTGGCCCCAATTGCGGCCCGGTAACGGCCTTGGAAAACCACGGCAGGACAGCAGGCATGACTTCCATCCGCATATGTTGGTTTCAATGATAAGGAAGAGAGGGATGAGGAAGACAAGAAGAGAAAGCGCGGAGAAATAGATAGAAATGATGGAAACAAACGGCCGTGGTTTTGTCAATGGAACGCTCGAAAAGCCTATGCAAACCAACGGTGATGTGCGGAAGAACTGAAATTGGTTTGTGCAACTTTCAGGCGGGAGGAAAGCTGGGGCTGTTAAGAATCAGAGGCTTCCTTCGGGGTCAAAAGCGCACATGGGCACATTGCAAGTCAGGAATTGCCAGTGTGATGCGCTACTGTCGCTACTGTACCTGTACCTCAGCAGCGGTCTCGCCTGCACTGGCGTGGCTCCAGTCTGTGCAGACCATGCCTAGCTCTGTGGGCCAGTCGGGGGACGAGAGATCTGAATCGCCTTCCTGGAGCTTGAAGATGGTTGGCCACTCTTATGTTCCATCCCGATTCAAATGCCAAAACAAGAGAAATATACATAAACGATCATAAACGTATATAAATCATGAAATGTATAACAAGACTAACAAGATTATCAGATCATTATCATCAAAAAATATCATGAATCCAACATGTCACAGTGTCACAGCATATCCAGGCCCCCAGGCAGCAGCGGCTAGGGACTGCGGATACATCTCCTTGGTGACGCTCCACATTGGTGGGTCACCATAGACCTCCAGGCTCAGACCACTTGGATGTGCATTCAAGAAAGCAAGTGCATTTTAGCCCGTGTATATATATATAGGTAGATAAATAGATAGATAGATAGATAGATAGGTAGGTAGGTAGGTAGATAGGTAGATAGATAGATAGATTGATAGATTGATAGATAGATAGGACATAATATGAAAACGAGTGTGTAGATGTTTGTTGATATTCATATTGATACTTAAAAATGTAATATATATATATGTATATACACATAGATATATATATATATATATATATATGTGCATATATATGTGCATATATGTATATATGTATATATGCATATATTTATATTTGCAGCATATGTATGTATACAGTTGTACGTGTGTGGTATTATACAACTGGGTTTGTACCGTTCATGAATGGATTTTTAACTCACTTCTTCATCACATGCCAACTGGCATCCACATCAGCATGATGTCGAATGGGCGTGTAGAGTTTAGAAGTTGGTGAGCACGTGCCTACACATGCAAACGTATGAAGAGTCTTGAACACATGTGTCCTGGATGAATGGTTGCATTTAGTATTGCATGCAAAAGTCGGCATACAAGTAAACTGTCAAGATACGGGATGCTTTCTCTGGGTGTTGCAAAGGCCGCAGCAGGTCCAATTCTGTGATTCTCTCAAAATCCTTTTGGACCTGAAACCTGGTATCCCCAGCCACGGGAAAACTCCCACCTCGCAAAAGCGGTGAATGCAATGTATTCGAGCCACAAGAAGGTGACCGGCGCAAGAAAAAATGAAGATTCAAGTTTCCTACCTTGGTACATGTCATACTCTATAGAAGCAGGAATCATATGCCAAGGGATCCTTCCTTCACGTTGCTGTGGTCATCCCCAGCTCCCGCAACCCAGCTCCGTTTTCCGATCGCCTTGGCATTGTTACAGTCGCCCTCTCTGGAGACTTCGAGACTTCGCCTGGCCCTGACACTGCAAACCATTTGAAATGTCCACTGCGATCCATGTCTGTGTGGTCCTGCACTCGTGGTCTAAACACTGGGCGCAACCAATGTTGCAAACCCAACAATGAACCTCCAATTGAATGTGGTTTCTGCGACCCATTTTATTTTATTATTGGCTCGGTCATTGGTCAGATTACTCATTCTGTAAGAATAGTATGTATAGGACGAAAGTCCTGCCATCAGCCAAGGCCACGGAGTCGCCCAGGCGAAGAATCCCGACACGGAAATGTGCGCGTTCGGCCAAAGCCTGGAGCTTAACCGAAGTTGAAACCGTTTGGCCTCCTCTTTGCCCACACACTACAAAGTATACACACCTCTCTATGCATGTATCTGCACATCTATATTGATTGCATTGTGTGTGTGTATGTGCGCGTATGTTGTAAATATATACATGTACGAATATATGAATATATAAATGTATTTATATATATATATGCATATACGTGTATATATATACATATATATATATATACGTATACGTATATATATATATATATGTGTGTGTGTATATCACCACGTATATGTGTGTGATTTGCACATACATGCATGCATGCATGCATGCATGTATGTATGTCTTTGTATGTATTTGTATGTATTTGTATGTATATGTATGTATATGTGTATGTATATGTATATGTATATCTGTATATGTATACGTATATGTTTATGCTGGCGGCTGGTTTACCGTACGTGCGTTTTTGTGTTTTTTTTGGCCGATGGGGTGGGGTGGGTTGGGGTGGGGTGGGGTGGGGTGGGCTAATAACGTTCAATGGCACTAGCACACATACTTGATGCTACGCTAGCGACCTCGTCTCTTGCACTTGCACACATACCTGATGCTACGCTACCGACCTCGTCTCGTGCACTTGCACACATACCTGATGCTACGCTACCGACCTCGTCTCTTGCACTTGCACACATACCTGATGCTACGCTACAGATGGGTTTGTGTGGGGTGGGGTGGGGTGGGCTAAGAACGTTCAATGGCACTAGCACACATACGTGATGCTACGCTACCGGTCTCTTCTCTTGCACTTGCACCCATACCTGATGCTACGCTACCGACCTCGTCTCGTGCACTTGCACACATACCAATGGCAATGGCGCTGGGAAAACAGTGCCTGTGCCAATCTGAGCCGTTTGACAGCCGAGACTCTTCGAGCGAACATGCAGTGAAAGTGCTGCGCCAGAAAAAAACCGAAAAGTCCGATTTTTTTGTTCTCTCCCTGTGGCGAAATGCAAATCCATCAAAAACAAGGCATCCTGAAACAGCCTCTTTCTACTCCTGGCGTTCACAAAAGCGTGCAAATACAAGTGAAAAATGATGAAAAAATAAAACACAATGGAATTAGCCACATTTTCTGACCAAACATGATGATGATTGCTTCAAAAGTCCCGCAAATACCAAGAGATAAACATGAAGGTCATCATAAAGACTCTTAAGAAAATGCCAAAACACACGCGCGGTAAACCAGGCGCCGGGATGTTTATGTATATGTATATGTTTATGTATGTGTATATGTGTGTATCTATGTGTATGTATATATATTTTTTGTATATATATATATATGCAGAGCAAAAAGCATCCAAACACCAAAAAAACTTAAGTTTCATTTGTTTTTTTCACCATTTCAGGTCCACCATTTGATCCAAAGAAACAAAAAACCTTGAGTTTTGTTGGTTGTTTAGATATCAAAACCAAAAGAAACCAAAAAAAACTCAGGTAAAACCAAAAGAACTAACATGAGCTTGAGACCAAACATTATCCGACCTGTTTTTCCGGTTTCCCGAGGTTTTGGTTGTAATGCCTATCCTTTAAGAGTAGCAGCAGTAGATTCAGCAAGATATTGCAGAATTACAAAATGGATTGGTAAACAAAGCACACATTTGCAAGCATTTCTTTTGCTAGTTGCAAATGTGTGCTTCGTTTACTAATCCATTTGCAAGTATGCAGATTAAAATCTAACACCATGTCTACTCAGCCACCTCTCATGGACATCATCTAGTTGTGCCTTGTTGGTGTTCTCATGGTTTGAGAGCCCTCCCAGAAAGTTACTTAAGACCATTGGAAGAAATACGACACAGCCAAGGCTTGAAAATACAATAAGTAAACAAGTTTCAGCATGTACTTTGAAGTCTGTTATCAAAGCAAAATCCTCCAATATAGGCCTTGCGCAGCAGTGTTTTCAAAGAATATCACATTCCGTGGATAAAGTCGCATCATTCCTTGCATGCAGTGAAATCATTTTGTAGAGCCCCCTTATATGAAGGAGGGCAGCATATTTTTGAAAGGAACATAGTTATTTTCAAAGAGACGCGCAGCTGTGCAAAGTTGTAAAGGAATGCCTGCCGCATTTCTTGAAAGGAATATAAATATATATAAATAATAAAGCTATTCTCCAAAAGACTTACAGCTGCGCAAAGTTGTAACGGCTTTCTTTGAAAGGAAGATAGAGTTATTTTCAAAGAGATTTACAGCTGTGCAAAGTCATAAAGTATAAAGGAGCGCAGCATTTCTTGGAAGGAATATAGAGTTATCTTCAAAGAGACTTACAGCTGTGCAAAGTTATAAGGAGCGCAGCATTTCTTGAAAGGAGACTTACGGCTGTGTAAAGTTACAAAGGAGTGCAGCTTTCTTTGAAAGGGACATAGTTATTTTCAAAGAGAGTTCCAGCTGTGCAAAGTTCTGTTGAAGAAGTAGAGGAATTTAAGGAAGGAGGATAGCATTGCTTCAGAGTGGAATCCTTTGAGTAACCATTTTAACATATTAATTGCAATATTCCTCAAAGAAAGTTTTGGTGCAAGTCTGTGCAAGGCTTCCTTCACAAGGGAGTGGATCATTTGATTGAAAAGCATGCAATAACACAAAGAAGCATTACTATGAAGTAGAAGCCTTGGGTGTACGTAGTGTTTTTTGAAAGAAACGGGCCATGGATATATGCGTATATATATATACATATGTATATACAATTTGCGCTTCCATATGAGTGAAACATCAGGAAAAAAGAAACAGGCGACACTATTTTGAAGAAGTGAAGTCTTTCCTGTAAAAAATAAATGCCATGCAGAAAAAAAGAATGAGAGGGAGGCTGAACTTCTTTAAAGGATGTATTGCATCTGTCCACATAATGTATTTTTCTGCAAGAATACTGCTACTTATTTAAGGGGATACCTTGTCTTCAAGGCAATTACTGCATTTTGAAAAAGTTAAGTCTTTCCTTAAACAATGGTCATACAAGAAAAATGATAGGAAGGCTGAGCTCCAGTAGAGGATGTAGTTCATCTTTCCACACTGATAGTTTTCTTGCAAGAATATTGTTTCTTATTTAAGGGAATATCTTGTCTTCAAGGCAGATTGTAACCTGTAAGCAGCACTTTCCTTCAACAACAGTGTTTCTTTTGCAAGGAATGCACACCAATACTGAATGCTAATCACACATTGCATATTGTGTAGCAATCTGGTGTTTTGAAAGAAATACTGTATGATGAAAGAAGGCTGAACCATTTTCTGAAAGGCAAACTGTTCTTCTCCAGAAAGGAACACCGCATGTTTAGAGGAATGCTCTATATTTTGTACGGATACTCCTTCTAAAAAGGGCTCGACTCTTTTAAATTTGTTCTTTACTTTCGTCTACTTTCTCTACTTTTTTGGAAGGCTCTCTCTAGCTATGTATCTATATATATATAATTATATATGTGTGTGTGAAATGTGTGTGTGTGTTATCTTTGTAGCATTTTTTATCTGAAAAGGTGGGTCTTGGGAGGGTGGGGTGGCAGATATATACACATATATCTGTCTGTCTGTGTGTGTGTGTGTCTGTATGTGTGTATGTAATGTAATGGAATGTAATGTAATGGAATGTAATGTAATGGAATGTAATGGAATGTAATGTAATGTAATATATGTATGTACACGTGTAGGCATGGGTATCCTGCATCTGTGTTCTAGACAATTACGCATGGAACGATGATCCTCAGAGAAGAATTCGCAGCAGACAAACACAAGCGGCGATTGTATTCAATCACACTTGCATAGGACATGCACCAAACACCTCAACTTAGCATACGCAATCAGAAATCACATTGTCCGGAGAACCTTCTTCCGTTCGAATGTGACCACCAAAGCTCTGACGGCCCGTACGGCACCGAACGCCGATCGCCGAATACTTCGAGACGCTGCCAGCGCCCGATCAAGTCAGCTATGGTCTACAAGCCCCGCCGCCAGTCGTGCCTACCAGTGGGGTTCTTTGAATTATTCGCGGGAGCTTCCTTCTTCAATCGTCTTTGACATATGCACAGGTCTGTACAGAGGGAGGGAAAGTTGAATCTCGTTTCCTAGATTCAATGAGTTGTGGACAAAACTGCAAGAAACCTCAAATGTAGAGTTTTCCTGTAAATTTTCCACTAACGGTTGGGTCTTCCAGAGTTGCGCTTTCTCAATGGCTCTCAATTAATCAGGACCCTGGGGGCACGGCAGGCAGCTGCACGGGTTATTGGGGCCGTCTCTAGCGGTTTTCGGCACCATATGCCGTGCCAAGACAGAGGAAAGCAAAAAAACTTGGGAAACATGGGAATAAGGAGGAGTTAACATCCAAAATGTTAACAAAGAAATGGATTTCATTAAAAGAAACGGGGATAACAATCTGATCGGATCTGATGGATATGTCTGAAAATGAAATACACCATAGTACACATACACACACCAAAAAAAAAAATAATACAGTTTAATCATATTGCTAAAACAACTGACAATCACCCGTGGGATTTTTCGGACAAATCTGCAGGCCACCGTGTCATTTTGGGGTAGCCTATTTTTAGACAAACCGATGTGAGTCTGCACACCTGTTAATACAGAACTACATGCACAAAATGTATCAACATGTTGTTACCATCCTGCTCCCTTGCAAATGGCATCTGAATATGGCAAGATATTTTTTTCCAGACCTCCCAAACAAAAATTCTTTCCTGCAGAGTTGCCGCGAAATCTCTGGTCACACCACTCATGTTGGCTGAGCAATGATTCTCTCCACCCGATTTTATGAAAAAAAAATACTACATTGTACATATTTATATATATATATATTATTATGATTATGAATGTTATTATTACTACTTCAATTTATTACGTTTTTATTATTATTATTCGTTTGTGTGCGTGCCAGAGATTCACAACCAGAATTTGATCTTCAGACTCGCTGTGGCTTGGCCCCAAAGATGAGAACAAAACAAAAATGTGTTGGACCCAAAGTATCGGTCCCTCAAGGGGTCCCTCTGTCGGTTGAAGACTGACATTGACAAATCTCCGAATGTCATCAATGACATGCAGCATCTCCGGCTAAAAGAAGAACAAGGCACGTCATGTGTCATACCCCAATAATACGCCAACACTATCCCCAAAATGTGAAATGGAAAAAATATTTTTATATCTACATATATATATATGTGTGTGTGTATGTGTATATATATATATACATGTATATTTACTATTTATCTGCATTTAATTACTTAATTTGTTTCATTATATCTCAGATCTCAACTCCTTTTGCTGCATCCAAAGCAGGCAGCTTCTCTCGTTTCAAGCGTTTAGCTTGCTGTGCTATGTATGAAAAACGGCCCTGACTTGGTGACAGGGTGGGCGAGGACATGGGTGAAAGCTTGGGAATGGATACAACACAGATGATTCGATCTTAGAAGGACAAGATCTCAACTCCTTTTGCTGCATCCAAAGCAGGCAGTTTCTCTCGGTTCAAGCGTTTAGCTTGCTGTGCTATGTATGAAAAACGGCTACCAAAGGAAGGGCCAAGTAGTTGTGGGAACAGCTGAGGCTGAGTTCAGCAAAAAGATCGCTCGGTCACAAATCTTCGGGAAAGCTGCAGCAAGCCTATTGATTCTGTCAAGCGCCTGTGGAGGGATGCGACTCTGACAAGTGGCAACTGATATCTCCTGAAGGTAGATTTCCATGACTCTGGATGACAACCAGCGGCCACGATGTCGAACAAGCTCTCCATCTTCAAAGCGCTGCAGCAGATGTGTGGCCCCCCCGCCTCTCAAACTAGCAAGATCATAAGGACGCCAAGCGAATGCTGCAATTGATTGAATCTTTTCCGAGGCGTTGACCCTGAAAGCGACCAAAGCTTTTTGTCACCTGGCCAGTTACCAAAAACTGCTAGTAAGCTGATCACATCTTTTGGATCAATTCGGGCAGATTGATGCTTGGCTGCAGAGCCACGGGTTTTGGGATGTCGTATTTGGAAAAAGGCATAGCCGATACCTGCTGTGGAATCGCTAGGAAGGACGAAGTCAGATCTGAGGCCATTCAGAACTTCTCCAACTCGAAGAATACCTGCCCATGCCAAAAGGAAAATGGCTGACTCCTGGGCCCAGCCCCAGAGAAGAGCCAAGGCTGAGAAAGCCGGCATCGCCGGGTGGTGGGATCCAGGTTCACCTGTTACCCAGCTCAGGAGCGCATCTCGGCGGCTTCTGGCCTGCGGCCTTAGTACTCTGTCTGCTGCCAGATTGACGCCAGAGCGTCGATCCGCACGCGTCCTCTCATCTGCAGTTTGCGGGACCAATGGCACAGCATAGCAAGATGGGAGAAAGACGACGAGGGGCAATGGCTGCAATCCATGGAGACCATTCCTCTCCCCAAAGTTATTAAGGAACAGAAATCCCCAGAATAATAACCTAAGGGGGCCTCTAACACCGTCCTGGGGTAAGGAGGCACGGAGGGATGGAAAACTGAGGGCACGGAAAAGTCCATGTGCTAGCAAAAATCCCAGGAGAGCAAGGGCAGCACAAAGTCCAAATCCAATGGTACACTCAAATCCAACACATCCACAGAAGGGCCAGCCAGAAACACCTGGAAACATAGGCCGAGCATCGACAGGGCAAGTGACGGACAGGAGGACCACAAGTCGCACCCAAGCGCAGGACAAGGCCAGGGAATGCAAGTGAGCGAGGACCTCAGCAGAAACATGATCAGAAAAGGCAACTGCTGGAGTGGCACGGATCTCAACGTCCCTGGTTGGGCCATCAGCGACATTGAGCTTAGCAGGTGTAAAGCCAAGTGACGGGTAAAGTCCAAAGGCAACCTGTAGAGCGGCACACTTCCGAAGGGAGGGACCGAGGGCGGCTGCCGACGACCTACCCTTTGCAATGGAACATTTTGCAACTCGAGAATCAAGAAGGGCATTGAAGCGGCAGCCTAGTCAGCCTAGTCCAGACGCTGCAAGGTACCGGAGAAGAGTCAAAAAGGAATGATTTTCCAAGATGTTGATATGCGACGGTCGTCGCTAGTGCCACTGCAATACTTCCCTCCAAGAGCCAGACAGCAAGAGATCATTGGCAACGACACTTTCAACACCACTAATCCGAGGTCCCTCAGCGTCTGCACGAAAATCCCGGTCAAGGGCTGATGCAAAAGCACGGGCAAAGTGCTTGGCAAGCTCAGGCACATAAACCGCTGAAGCCTTAGTAGCCCCCTTGAATGGGAACGTGAGCATGACCACCTGGACACCTACATTCCAAAGCCTCGGGCGCAATCTTCCAGAGAAGAAGTCTGAACTCCTTGCGATGTGGGCTGCCAAATTGACATGACGCAACAATTGTCTCACCAAAATTCTTGACGTCCCGCAAAAACCTCCAAATTGACAACCAGGCAATTTTCGAAAGTCTAGGCTGCTCCAACAGGCAAGGAACATCGCAAAGAGAGGCGACCCACGCAAGAAACAGACAGCGAAATTTCAGTCATGCAAAATCCCTTCGGCTCAGCATAGGCCCGCACGCAAGGATGGGCAGCTGGAGAAAAGGTTGTGCAAACGGGCTCAAGCATGATACCTCGAAGCCTCTTGGATTGTAACATATTGCAAAGCCATTCAACAACTTTCAGGTCACGCAGGTCATAATGAGGTGAGTCGGAAAGCTCAATGGGAGGCATGACTGTGTAACCCCAAGCAGCAAGACATGCAGAAGTTCCTGCAGCTCCTCCACAGACTTCAACAAAATCAAAGGAAAAATCCAACGGGGGCTGAGGAGTGAAAGCTGGCTGGTCATCCTCTGCGGCATCTTCACCTGCAATCTTCAGAGCCTGACGGTAGGGTCCATCCAGGCAAGTGTGAGACCCACGCTAGTCTCCCGTAAGCCACGGGGTTTTTGCAGTGCTCTGAGTGATCTGCCTAGCAACGATGGCCCCCTTCCCGCAGGATGCATCAGTGGCAAAAAGTTCGCTGTGGACAGGCCGGGTAACATCTGAGGCAGCAACAAAGGAAAACACAGCAGCCAAAACAAGCTCATCAGCAGCTTTCCTGTGGAGAAGGAAAACATCACCTGGGTCAGTGCCAGCGGAGGAGCCATACGCATACAACTTTGAAAGTAAGCATGTTAGGCAACGCCGATAAAGTAAAACTGAAGTCCAGTTCCCCGCAAGTCTGGTGGCCAAGGCCGAAGAGAGAATAGGCAAAGCAACACTACGCAAGGACAAAACTGCAAGGCTGAGCCACTTCTGCACAGGGGCTGAAACAGTGACAATACCTCTGGACAGGGCTGCATCTGAGGAGTTCACCTCCGCTCCTGCAACCTTGAAGTGGTGAGACCCAACAATATCCTTCTCAGGGGAACCCAAGACACCGACATGATCATACTTCTTTCTGGCAGCGTGGAAACACGCAACAGCTGGCAACGTGGACCTCTTAGGATTGGAGGCCTTGGAAACCGATAGGGAAAAATAATCATCTATAACAAGTCCTTCATAAACTGGACCCTGTGGGAAAGGCCGCCCCCCAAGAATCCTGTTCCGAGGCTTCAGGAGGTCAGCCTCTTCCAGCAGCGCTGCATGGCTAGACAACGCAAACTCAACTCCAAGATGATCACCCTGGAAAAGGCTCTGAAACAGGGCTAAACTTCACCAGCCTCTGACGCTAAAAGTCCACGGCGTGAACTACCAAATTGATCACCAACCTCATCTCTTGACTGCTTCTGTTTGGGTGAACCCAAAAAGGTCACCAAGGCCGAAGAGCCATCAAACGCAGACAAAGGATATTTGAAGGGCAGGACATTGGTGGTGGCATGCTCAAAAGACACCGCTGCCTGACGGTAAAAATTTTTTCTGCCAGTGATGGCCCCACAAACAAAGGAACCCCTAGGGACAAAAATGCCAGTAATCATACATCCTATAGGGAGAAACTTTGAAGGCCCTGACAAGTGCCGCTCAGCTTGGTTTGCAAGGCGACGATCACTAATCTGGCGGTCAACTTCAGCTGACTTCCTGGCATTTAAAACCCTAGAAAAGGTGGATCTGTGCAGCTGCTGACCAATCAAACAAAGAAGGCCTTTTGTGTCCCAAAGAAGCGCAAGTCGAAGGTTCTCTTCTCGGGACTCACGAGACAAGTCCGGTCCGGCGGCAAAATCCAAGGGGCCATCATGGTGCAGGGCGCGAGGTTCCTGAAAGAGCATCCAAAGCTCATCATGCAAATAGTCAGCCAAATTCCAATTTGCCTGACCAACCAACTTCAGCCTGCTAAAGTCAAGAGATGTGTATGGCTGAAAGGGCATGGTCTCCTCAGAGGGGCGAGCAACACCAACCTTCTTGGCCTCAAAGTCCACAGGGCCCTCAATATATTGGTCAAGCTGCAGCAGAGGTGAATGCTCAGCAAAATGCTCGAATTCTGAGCCAGACCGTCCTGGGACAGCAGAGAAAGGCTCTCCCCCAGGAGTATCACACGTTGCCAAAAGCGCCCAGAGTCGTTGATGGACTCGTTGTTGCACAGGGTTCGGGCGCCTCCCAAGCAAGTCCCATTTGCGGCGATCAACTCCACCATGAATGAAATTGAGGGGAACAATGAGGATGTGGCGCGTCCTCTTTCTCAAAAGGCAAATCCATCTGCGCCTGGAAAGCCTGGGGCGGCTGCCACTAACAAGTCCAAAATCAGCCAGCGGCAGCGGAAAGACAACGGAAGCTGGAGATGAACCAGCTCGAGTGCGTGAACTGATTCGGCAAAAGGCTGAGTTAAATTTGTCACCTCGTAGTTGAAGTCGATCAAAAGGACCTCGATCACAGCGTCCTGTACAGGAACGGGTGACGCTGAATCTTACAAACTGAGAACTTGACCTGCCGGCAAAGTGAATGAAAGACGCAGGTTGGCCCATCACATCTTCGGCTGGTGAAGCCATGCCTGCTGCAAGCTGCTCGGCTGTGAAGTAACCCTGTGGCAAAGCAAGGAGGAGTCCACCCATCCGACGAAGAACGATCAAGCATACAGCAACCGCTTCTCCATCTCATGGGTCGTCTCCAACTCTCCCACTGCATTTCGTCCTGCTGCTATCATCCTGGAAATTGGAGTGCTGCCCCAGCAAAATAGATCTTGGCTTCAATCTGTGAAGGGAAGGCGTGGCAAATGGTTCCAGAGCCCTCCAAAGGCCCAACTGCCTGACGGAAAGCAGCTGAGGTGGTGAAGACCTGAGGCACAGCCAATCCCTGGGCTCGCAAAACACACCAGGCCCGATTCTGCTGGACAATGGTGGGTGTCTGGTTTGGGGGATGACACCCTTCCGTCCAAGACGGCTCTGGCCCACTGACCCACTTTCCAAGCTCGCTTTGCTCAATCAACGGCCTCTGAAGCAGGCCAAATCTGGGGCAAAGGTTCGAAGGAATCTTGAATGCTGGTTCTGGTCTCCACTGAGATAGTGGAGCGGACTTTGGAACGAACGGGGGATGCCCGATAGGAAAAAGATGGCCGAGGAACAGGTGTAGACGGGACAGCAGAGGGCTGAGCCGGAGAGTGATGGGCAAGTCCACGGACAAAAGCAGCATGGAAAGTCCAGCAAAGTCCAAAGTCAAATCCACGGTGTCCGGTCCTCAGAGGGTTGGCTCATGCAAGTGCCGGGAAAGCCGGTGAGCAGCCGCCCTGGAGGGGGTATTGGATGAGGTCACAGGCCGAGGAGGGCAGAATCCAAAGGCAGAGCCGAAGAGATAGCAAAAGCCCAAGGCACAAGTGACAAATCCAAAAATCAAGCCAGCGAGGAAGCAAGCGAGAAGGGAACCCCAGGACGGAGAGCCACAGTGTTGAGGACACCCCAAGCGCCACCAATTGGTCGAAACACTCCAGTTAAGGATCTTAAGGACCCCGAGGAATGGTTCCATGAAAGCTTGAGAATGGATACAACACAGATGATTCGATCTTAGAAGGACAATGATTTATATTTTGTTTTTTCAACACTACTATATATATATTATATATATGATGGATATGATACCTGAAAAGGGCAGAAGGGTGGCACAGAGCTGGTAAGTTGTGTTGTACCTGGAGATCATCCGGCTCGAAAACCGCTGAAAAAACAGGCCCTGAACATCATGCAACCCGCCCTTGGCCAGAATCACTTGGCCCGCAAAACATGTCAATTGGATATCATTGATTTCATTCCATGAGCGGCATACTAATGTACTATACATCATCCATCATCATCCCCAGCCTTTGTTGATGCCTCTGCTTTGGTTTGCTGCCAATTTGTGATTCCCTGCGCTGCGGGGTTGTTCTGCCTCTTTTCAACACCACCTTTGCAGCCATCTTAGACGTCTGCATGCGATGCTTGGCCTGTTTGGCCCAAAGACAAAAGGTGTGGGTCACTTGAGGCTTCAAAAACAGCAAGGCAAGACTTCAAAGAAGCGTTCCTGTGGTCATGTCAGGGTAGGTTGAATAAAGCCATACCAAAATCAATCCTGTGGCTATCCCTCGTTTCCGGATGTGAGATCCAGTTGCGGACGGGTCACCAGGCGCTTTCGCCCAGCGTTCCAGTCCAGTGCCTGAAGTACTCCACAAGCGCTCCAGTATCAATAATTCAATTCAACGAACACGCATTCCACTTGGCATCTTCACATCGGTCTTAAACGGGGTAATATGCTCCTCATGACTCATGACAAGGGTCATATTCTCTGATGGAATTGATGCGTTGATAGCAAGAGGCCAAACCCCCAGGATACTCCACCCAAAAAAGCCCTCCAGTCGGTCGCGTGCATCAGAGACGACTATGCGTGAAATAGCCTGCAGCCGGCCTAGCGCCAGGCGCTGTACTGTAGCTACACCAAGCCGACTCTCTTTGGGGTGGCTCAGTTGTCCAATCCAGAATCCACACTGCGCAAATCCAGGAGCACAGTTCTCACACGCACAATACGACAGGATAAAGTAGAATACAAGAGCACAAACACTTACAATATCTTACAATGGTGGGTTCTTCTGCTCCTTGCGATACCATGGCACTTGGCACCGTATCTCTTGCTAGCTACAAAGCCACCAATTGCTCAGGTTTTGCGCAGCCTGGAACCTTCAAGCCGTTCTCTTGGCAGAAAAAAGGTATCATGGCACGTTTGAAGATTTTGAGGCATCACGCGTCCATTGTAGGCCCCACCCCTGGTAGATGGCTGGCAAAGGTCCAAGCAGGGATGGACTGGGGGAGTCAACTGTAATTTGGCTACAAAAGTTGTTCGTCTCATTATTGGCTTACATGTGCCATCGTCTGATATCGTCTGGTTGGTTAAATTGCCTATTTTCAGACAGACCCAAATCATAGCCATAGTGTTGCTCACCCTGCATCCCATCATGGCTGAGCTTTTCTGGTTCACCATGACCCAAAACACCTCCAACCTCCACCAGCCCGGGCCACGCCTAGGGCGAGCCGCTCAGCCGCCTCCTGCTCGATCCGTAAACGGACGCCTTGCCGTCGCCGGGAGGGCGGTGAATCCGACGCCTGGCGAATGGCACTGCGTCCGCGGAGAATAGCCCACTTCCAATGGATATCGGATATCAATGGATTATCAATATGCTCCATCTGTGCTTTATACGCTATATAGATGATAATAGATGATTATAGATCATTACAAATGATTATATATATATACGTATATAGTCATGATCTGATCGGTTGAAATTGCGACATCGGGGTATGCCCGATTGTTTGGACAAACCCAAATGCTGCTGGGGACATCAAGAGTTGGGTAGGCAAAATGCAAATGGGTTGTGAATCTTGTTTCAGGTTGCGATGGGCTAGAAATGAACGCCTTGATCGAGTCCACCTTGGCTGCGATGGCAGTGGCAACTGCGACCGCCAACTCCCGCCGCAAGCTTCCCGCTTCCTCCACCAATGAGTGGCCGATTTGGCGAGCTTCAGCAGCTTGGTTCCAGCTGAAGCTATTTGTGTTTGAAAGGATCAGCAAACACTGCACACCCCAAGCTCTGACCCCAACGCGTCCTTCTGGGAGCGCTTTAGCTCACGGCGAGCTTCATCTAAAGCACCTGCCCAGAAGGATGACCACTTCAACGAAAGTTCCTGTGATTTTGGAGAAAATCAGGTGAAAGTTTTGGCTACACCTGTTGAGTCTGTGTAAATGCGGTAAGATCAGACCTTTATCACACCTTGACCACGCTGTCAATCAGGAGAACCACCATCCCCCAAAAGGGACAGTGCTACAAAAAGGCATCCATCTGGCTACATGATCATATCATCTCAAGTTGAGAACTGCCAACAGTTGCCAACAAAAATTTCCCAGCCGTACTTTCGGCAAGTTTCCCAGGTCACCTGCGGTGCGCTCGGCTTTGGCTTCAGCCAATGCCACGTTCCCTCCGTTCCCTCCAGCGGGGCGAAGTAAAGTGGCCTTCAGGCGCTGAGTCGTATCCACCTCGGAGCCACACAAGCCACAGGACCAGTTGGTCAACTCGGTCAACTCGGTCAACTCGGTCAACTCACTTCGATCTGCCAAAGATATCAGTGCTCGTTTGCCAGTTCCACTCTGGATTCCACCCTGCCCCAAGTGCACAAAATCCAAGGAACTGAAGAGGTGGTGCTAAGGTCAGTAAGGTTTGCAAACTGGGACCCTGCCTTAGCATCAGGTTGTAAGATCTGGGCCACAGCCATGGAACATCGTGGAATCATCTATCGAGGGAATCTATGTAAATCCATGTGCAATAATATTACATAATATACAGCAAAAATCGGAGTTCGATTGAATTAATGTGACTTCACATGAAATTCCAACCCGAGGATTTCAATTCAGAGTGAACAGGTCTCTCCAGTTCTGCATGTCGGACGACAGGAGCTTTGACCCGCGCCCGCCTCAATCAAGGCGTCTGTCCGTGCAGTGGCGCAAATGGCCGACCGGTGAGGCAAGTCCAAAGCGCCTTGGATAGGCTGTGAGCTCTCCGATTTTGTTCAAAAATGTTCACGATGAGTTTCCAAAAAAGGGAAAAGTTCTACAGATCTAAGATCTCTAGTGGAACCGTGGGATTCATGTTATATCATATTATGGTTTGCTCAATACGTGAACATGCATAAGTGCATATCATGTATGAACATCTATGTCATTTGTCTATATGCTTGTGGATCTAGTTGTGCATGTGCTCGCATAGCAAATATACATTTACACACGCAATAGTCATGGTTCATTAATTAGCAGATTTGCGGGGTTATTTTGTATACACCAATATGTATAATTATGTGTGCATATGATATGATATGATATGACATGACATCACATTATATTGTATGTATGTGTGTGTGCGTGTGTGTGTGTGTTTGTTTATTTATTTACGGATCTACACATATATATATACACGTATATATATATATATATATTTATATATCTTGTATAATGCTGGATATGTGATGACATGTGCATAGATTATACGTGTATATGTGCGTATGCATGATACATACATATACACCACATACACACATAACTCTTTATGTATATATATATATTGATTGTGTATGCATACACATCAGATTGTATAAGCCTATATTTAAATATGTACAATATCATGTGTGCGTGTTCACTCAAATAAACGTCAAACAGCTGGTTCCAACTGGGCCACGAAGAGCTGCCTTTGTGTCGCGCAGCTCCTGGCTGAATTCGGATGGGCCAATGGGCCGTTCCCATTTGGACAACCAAAGTTTTGCATCGGAACGCGTCGGAACCAAACCTGGCAAAAGACTTCTTAGAAAGTCTATCGAGGCTCAGAAATTAGTACCTAGATGTACCTAGCGTGACCCGTGGTTTCTTGATTCGAGGTGACTCATGACATTGCAAGCCCTGCGGGCCTTCTTCAAGTTTCCGCATTCCACCTGCAGCGCTCGGCACTTCAGCTCAACCTCCATCCGCTCACCTGGCAGTGCATCAGGCCGGCTTCGGCATGGTATGAGTTGAGCTGTTGAAGCTTTTGGCTCATGTTTCCCAAAACCAACCAAAACCATCCAAAACCTGTACATGATGTTCTCATCCCACAAAGGGTTTTCAGGTCACAGGGGCCCCTGCACCAAGTTTACCAACTACTGACAAAGGCCAAAAATTGTTGCCACACCTTGGGCTCTCGCCACCTCCCGCTCCGCATTGGCAATGCGTCGCCGGGCCCCTTCCTGACAGGTTGCGTGGAGAACAAGGTCAGAAGGCTGCCTTGTCCATGGGCTGAAGTCATATAGGCTGCCGCCCACGGCCATGCAATGACACGAATGCGTGCAAACGTTGTTGTGAGTAGACCATGACACCAAGCCGAAGGAACCGCTAAAAATAGCCCAGTCGCCAGCTCTGAATCAATCCCCTTGTATTGGTCGAGTGTTCGTGTTCTCGCAGCTTTGGCATCCTCAAACAATCGGAGGACTGGTCGACTATCTTAACCCTGCTGCCAGAAGGAGGGATGCCCTTCTCTCAGACATTTCGTGGGATCGGCACCACCAGCCTACCCATCAAAAAACCCTCGAGCAACCCTCATCCGCTGGCAATTGCCCAGGCACGCTCAATTCAGCGGTGACATCAATCAATTGTGCTTCCGCCGCAGAGCAGCGTTCCTTGCGTATCATCAGCTCCACCTGCAATCACAAACCCAACAGTTGCAGCAGGAACAGAAGTGGGTGATGTTGCTGCTTGGCAGTGCTTCTCATGTTATCTGCCTTGCATGAAACTTAGGGGTGAGAAGCCACACAAGCAGGTACACGCCCAGTATGCCTTTGCGGGGCCAAGAAAAAGAGCGTGCGATCACATGAATCTGTCAAAATTCTCCCATACAATTTACAATCGAACATCCAAATCAACCACTTGATACCACTTAGGAGGTTTGGATGGAGTCCACTCATCACCCATCTTTGGATAAGTGTCAGCCTGAACCCTGAACCAACCCTTCCAACCTCAAGTTGCTGCAGCTGCTGCTTCAATTTTTGCACCTCGGCGTCCTGTTTGATGTTTTGCGCCTGCAGGGGTGGGGGATTGCAGATTCATTCGATACTTTAGTAAGACGCTGGCACATCTCAGAGGCATCTTGGCCTGCTGCATGCCCGCCAGCTCTGCGTTGAGGTGCTGCACCTAGCCACCCAACCAAAACAAACAAATCGATTCAAGCAACAGGCCATTGTGCAGCCAATCAGGGATCGTCAATTCTCAATATTTGTCCTCGACGTCCGTTTCACTCATGCTAGTTTGACGTATTCCCACATCGGAGTGGAAGGGCTTGAAGCATTGCAATTGAAAGGCTGGGAGTTCACTCACCCTCCGTATGCACACCTTGTTCTCTGCATCTCGCAGCCGGCCACGTGTTGCGTGCAGATCTTGTGAGTCACCTGAGGATGGAGCGCAGTGGCTGCTCAGTAGCTCCCAACACTTGCTACGCTGGGATTATGTCACGTTGCTTTGCGGCACTCCTGGATCTCCAGTGAGTCTCCAGAATCTACATTGGTGAGGCCAATAGGGCACTTCTGGACCTTCACACGCCAAAGTATCTACCAGCCTACACCTCTCGGAGAGCTCATGTGTGCCCCAGATAGATAGATAGATGGATAGATAGATAGATTAGATTAGATTAGAATAGATTAGATTAGATTAGAATAGATTAGATTAGATTAAGATTAAGATTAAGATTAGATTAAGATTAGATAAGATTAGATTAGATTAGATTAAGATTAGATTAAGATTAGATAAGATTAGATAAGATTAGATAAGATTAGATAAGATTAGATAAGATTAGATAAGATTAGATAAGATTAGATAAGATTAGATAAGATTAGATAAGATAAGATAAGATAAGATTAGATAAGATTGGATAAGATTAGATTAGATTGGATAAGATTAGATTAGATTAGATCAGGTCAGGTCAGATCAGATGAGATTAGATCAGATTAGACAGATTAGATTAGATTAGATTAGATTTGATTAGATTAGATTAGAGATAGATAGATAGGATAGATAGGATTAGATAGATAGATAGATAGATAGATAGATAGATAGATAGATAGAATTAGATAGATAGATAGATAGATAGATACTGTAGATAGATAGATACTGTAGATAGATAGATACTGTAGATAGATAGATACTGTAGATAGATAGATACTGTAGATAGATAGATACTGTAGATAGATAGATACTGTAGATAGATAGATCCTGTAGATAGATAGATACTGTAGGTAGATAGATACTGTAGGTAGATAGATAGGATAGGATAGGATGGGATAGGATAGGATAGGATTAGATGAGATAAGATTAGATTAGCTTAGCTTAGATTAGATTAGATTTAGATTAGATTTAGATTAGATTAGATTAGATTAGATTTAGATTAGATTTAGATTAGATTTAGATTAGATTAGATTAGATATGATATAGATAGATGGATAGATGGATAGATGGATCGATGGATCGATGGATGGATAGATGGATAGATGGATCGATGGATGGATAGATGGATAGATGGATAGATAGATAAAGATAGGTATAGATTCATAGATATAGATTCATAGGTATAGATTCATAGATATAGATTCATAGATATAGATTCATAGATATAGATTCATAGATATAGATAGGTATTATAGATAGATTGATTGATAGATTAATTGATAGATTGATTGATTGATTGATAGATTGACTGATAGACAGATAGACAAACAGACAGATAGACAGATAGACAGATCGACAGATGGACAGATGGACAGATGGATGGATGGATGGACGGACGGATGGACGGATGGATGGATGGATGTGAAAGCTCTTCAGATATGTGATGTGTGTGTGTGTGTGGGCATCAAGGGTGTGCCTGAGAGTGTCTCAATGACTCTAAGTCTCTAAGTTTTTTTTGGCATCTCTCTCGGCCACATCCCCAAGCTACATGGTATAAAGAGGCTGGGTCCTAGTGGATGCCAAGGGGTATAAGCCAGGCCACGCTCAGGTAAAGATCTGCGCAGCATCTCACATCGGTCCTGCCACTCCCTGGTGCGATGTCGCTCTGTCACCCGCAGCTCCTGCGCCACTTGTGGCTTGGAAACACCTGTCTTAACAGCTATCCCGCATGTGTAAACCTACTCATGAATACCTACTTACGGGTGGTTTATGCAACCCATTGATGGTCACCTTGGGGGTGATTTATTGTTTGGTTAACCACATTCCAGTCAATGTGAATTAGTACCTTACCCGCAAGAATTTGAGTTTCCACGTGAAATTGGTTGCGAAATGTTCATGAAATGCTTCGAGCGATCATTTCCGGTCAAGTCATGACTACGTAGTTACTAGTTACGAGTACCTGTTGAAGAAAGAAAGTGTTGACAAATTTGCATGAAGATCGCCATATGTGGTGCTTCCCCAAGCCCAAAGCAAGCCCCGGTCCTCACTCATGTCGGAACGGATGCTATTTTGAGAGTCCTTCAAGAGCAGAGTTGTCGTTATGGGATTGTTGTCTCAGGCTCATTGAAGCAGCAGAAAATATGTTGCACCACCTAGCACTTCAAAGCTTACATTCACAGATCGGGAATGCAGGTACTAGACCTATGAGCCATTTCCTTAAAGTCTCTAGGACATGCACTGTCACTATGAATCTATTGGGAAGTACCAGGGGAACTCCTTGGAGGAATCCTTCTTGGAAGCCTTCAAGTGCTTCACCAGCGTCTCGACCTGAGGGGTGGAAGCTACAAAGCTACAGGGATACAGCTGGCAGCTAGGGTTGCCTGGTAAACAGTTACCTATCACCTTTCCAGCAGTGAAGCAGCAGCATGAGCAAGCACATGCAAGCACACAGAGGCCAGGCGAAACAAAGGAGTCCGCCTGTAAGACCCGTGAACAACAGATGGTTCAAGCCTGTCGCTTTTTCAAAGCACTGTCAGGTCCAGTCTACCCGATCTAAACCCTCCATGCCTGCCGCTCCAGATCAGCAAGCTTGCTGGAGCGAATGCTTCCCTCTGAGCTGGAATGCTTCATCTGCGCACACGAGGGTTGAGTTGGTGAGCCCGGAGGTCCCATGTTACATTCCAAAAAATCCGCCCGCACCGAAGGTGCCGAGGCGTTTTTTGTGTGCCTGCGAGAACCGTCAGCAATTGCATTATAGCTAATAAGCTTTAGCTTGGGGGGTGCATTTTTGCTCTAGAATCCTGTGTTTTTGCATGTTTTTCAAAAGGGGTCAAAATTCTTGATCTGGGCCAATATAGGCCAAAAATGGGTCAAGATAGGCCCAACATAGGCCCAACATAGGCCCAACATGAGCCTAAGATAGGCTTGCATGGGGCCAACATAGCCTCAAATGAGGCCAACATACCCTCATATGGGGCCAAGATAGCCTCATACGGAGCTAAAAAGTGCTCAATAAGTGCTAAAAAAAGTTCAATATGGCCAAACATCCTCCAACATATGTGAGTGTTATCCATTACACTTGGTGCGGGCGGTTTTCGTCGCGAAGCGACCGTGAATATCCTACAATTCTGCTCAGGGAAATGCCAAATATATTTCCACTTCGAAGTGGAAATTCGGAAAGCCAAGTGGCAACAGCTTCCAATCAACCCAAAAGACTGATGCAAGTCTGCACGTGGTCAGTTGGTGCTGCTGTGGGCCTTCTTTGGCTGCACGGTCTTGCTCTCAAGGGCTAGAAGCTTGCTTTCTAGCTGCTTGATGCGTGTGTTCCTTGTCAGCACTTCCTCAGGCGAGAAGGTGCAGTGTCTGGAATTTGAAGCTTGTGAACGCAAGTTACCAGGATCTACCAGGCAAGGATCAGCGTAACGGACCTTCAAACCATCCCAAATAGTTCCCCAAATTGCCCGGGTGTCAGCCACCAAGGAACGGAGCTGGAGGCTTGAAGTTGGGACAACGTCATCTCGATCTCCTTCTGAGCTGCCAAGCCTCCGTGAAACGAGGATGGTTGATCCACTGGAAGTTGATGATGATAACTACAGCGACAAGAACGAGTACAATCTCAGAGGCGAAAGTCTGATAGCAAAAAGGGGAATAAAGAAGCTTCGATGAGCTTCGTATCCCAGATTCCCCTTTTCTATGACCTAAGAAGTGTTCGGGAATGCATCCTAACCTGGACCCATTAAGCGATGCACTGCAAGCTAAAGGCTCCTATGAAAGCAGAACGCTGAAGTCTAGAGAACTTAGCCGCGACTATACACTTACTGTTAACTTACAAACTTACTGTATCTTACTGTTGTGTGTAAGCACGGTAAGTCGATGTGGTAAGATGTTTGGATATTGGCCCATTGGGGACCTCTCCCTGTGAGACCCCGAAAAAAGCCTGTCGCTTGGAACTGCTCCGCCCTGCTTTCGGCTGTTTTCAAATCACCCTCGAGCGCAGAAATCCATTTCGATTGCTTTGCAAGTTCGGACCTTGGAAGAAATCTCCACTTGGAGCTTCCGAGCTTTCTGCTAGATTGTACTAGTTAGTTACTACTCATGGAAGCTGAGCTACTTGCCTTCATGAAGTCAAGAATTAGCCACTTAGGAGATTGCCAAGAGCCATGAGCCAAAGGATTTCAGTGGTCCAAACAGGACGAGTCTACTACTCTTCGAAGGGGTGACTGAGGGCCTTGACTCCAGTGCTCGTATTCTTTCTTTGGAATTTGATGATGTGGTCGAACCTTTGCAGCGACACAGTCATACGGTCATACACCGCTCCTTGGCGCTCCAAGCTCCTGTGCATGTGATCTGAGTATCCAACCCTCAGTCATAGTACAAGCCGTCCGCTGCAGCCTGCGCATTGTTGGCTGAGAAGGAGTCACACGCGGAAGCTTTCATGGGCCATCTATGCCAAGCAATGCCAAGATGAAAAGAGGAATTAGTCACATCTTTTCGAAGGGCCTGAAGCAAAACATAGGAAGCTGAAACTGCCCTCCATCAAATTCTCCGAAATTGTTTGAAACCATCTGAAATCTACATACTGTACATGTATATGCAATTAATATGCATATGTACTGTGTATGTGTCTATGTTTCTATGTCTATGATTCTATGCATGCATGAATGTATTAATCTATGTATGTATGAACGTATGCATTCATGCATGTATGTGGCGGTTGATCTCCTTTTTTGTGCAGAAATACCCATCCTTCCCGATATAAAAGGTTGCGTTCGCAAAACTGTTCTGAACTCCATGTTTATCTTTCGCCGGGCCAATGTGGGGCACCAATACCTCTTATGAAGACTCAGTCACTACCTGCCAGATTATATGATAGCACTGCAAACATGCTGGTAGCATGACAGAATCCCTTCTTAGGGGCAGAATATTGCTTATCGGCTTATCGGCTTACCGGCTTATGTTTGTAAGGCGTACTGGGCCATCCATCCTTTTCTGCTCCGCAGAACTTTTGCGAAAATAATGTGTGCGAGGTTTCGACAAATGATCTTTCACGGTCTTCGCAATCAGAATTCTTTGCACGGACCTTTTGGATTGACACCCATGACATGGACGTAGTCTAATAGCATCTGTTAACATCTGATAACTACACCCTTTCCAAACATCCAACAGGCCTGGGCTCTGAGGATGCACGTGCACGTTGCCGCGCTTCCCCAGTGCCATGGCCAGCCGAGTGTGGACTGGGCGTCGTCCTGGAGATGGTCGAAGTCGAATGCATGGTCCTTAGGTCATGCCGAATTGGGTTGATTCACATTCATTCACCAACAAATAGGGGATTTTTTACCACGAATAGTGGTTGAATCTGGGCTTGTACTACGTTATACTGACAGGTTGATCCAGTTCTACCTGTTTCAACTGCGAAACCAACCAGTAGATCAAGCGACTAAAGACAGAAGATTTTTGGAAGCCCTGGTGACACGGGAGTGAACGAGAGCATCATCCTTCAAGGGTTGTGTGCCAACGTGCTGGATGGTGGATCATTGATCCTTTCAACATAAACTCACACAAAAGTAACACACTTGGCTCAACGAAAAGGATTCTAATGCAGCAAGGGTCTGCAAGGGGGTCGTTTGCTGCGTGGGCACAGCAACAGGTGCGACCGGTGCCACCGGTGCCACCGGTGCCACCTGCTCTGGTATTGGTGCTGCCACTGGTGGAGGTGGCGGCGGCGGAACTTCAAACTCCTCTTGAGGCAAAGGTTGCGGATAGCCTCACAGACACTATCCCCTTTGCACTTCGATGCGCTTCTACCTTTCTAGCCATGGAGAATCTTTTTGGGCACTGTCCTGTAGTACTGAACTATTCCGCCCAAAAATGAGCAAAAACACAGCCAATTGTAAAATGAAGAAATGGGTCAGGTCCCTTTTATTTCTTTTTCAGTCCGGAGGAGGAGAAAAAAATCAAAGAACCCTGATCTCCAAGTTGGATGTTCATAGTTTGGGGCGATGTGTTCTTTCGCCCGTCTTTGTGCTGGAAGGTGGGGTTGATGCTTTGGTTATTATCAGCTGCACCCGAGCAAGAGCATGACAGTTGATTTGCTTATACTAGGTAAACATGACCAATTCACCCATGCTACTGTTCACCCGTACATCTTGGAATTGCAGTGGCTAGGATCTCGGATCACAAAGTACAGCACTGCTCGCTGCTTGATCCATGCAGCAATCTCAAATAAAAAAGCCCTGCTGCAGCATCTGTCTTGCCTGTATGTTTGCCATTAGTCGTGTTAGATGTCTAAGTCCAATCACAACATCACACATGATACAAGCGACCAAGACAATCTACAGACCCAAGCAACTGAAATGTTGTGCTCGGCTGGGAATAAGTTCTTCTTCAAACTGTTGGAGAAAGGCATTGTACTGCCGCTGCGGAGGCGAAGCGGGGTACTGGAGCGGATACTGCGGCTGTGGAGGATGGTTTTCTTCTTGCCTTAGGACAATTGACGACTGACCCATGACCAATGCCAAGCGGACATGCACTAAGGAAGCTTGATGTGTCAGTGTTGCAAAACATCAGAAGTTCTGGGCAACTCGCTGAAACATGTTCTAGCTGGAGTCGCTAGGAGCATGCCCTCAATTTTGTTGAATGCAGATGGAGCTGAGCCTTCTGGCTGCAACAGCACGCCGTGAAAAGCTTCATGGCCATGTTCTAAAACCACCGTACTGCTGCAGTCAAGCTTTGCAAAATTCTTAACTTCATCAGCTCAAGCGAGGATCTGATGTCGTACTTCTTCAGCCACCCATCGTCTTTCCTGCCGCGACTGCATCTCCACCACTGGTGGTTGGGTCCGCTGCGGTTGAACCACGGGCTGAACCTCTGGCTGCTGAACCACCGGCTGCTGAGCCACTGGCTGCTGAACCTGGGGTTGTACCACCGGTTGCTGCACTACTGGCTGTGCCTGTGGCTGTATCATTGGCTGTTGCACCTGTGGCTGTACCAGTGGTTGTTGGATCTGCGGTTGAATCTGTTGAACCTGTTGCACCTGCGGCTGGACCTGTGGTTGCACCTGTGGCTGGAGGACTGGTGATGTTTGTGGTCGCACCACCTGTGTCGCCATGGCCGCCAGAGTCGCCTGGGATGCCTCGGAGCAGACCTCGGATTGGTGGCCCGGCAAGGATGAGAAAATCTTCACCAAACCTGCTTGTTGGCTCCAACACTTCCAGCAAGGCAAACTTGCAAACTTCAACAAAAAATTATACTTCTTTAGAGGTCCTAACCGCCCTACCCCGCTGGTCCAAGCTGCAGAAGCTCGCTGCTGACCTTGCCACAATCGTTCCTCCAACTCTAGTTCTCCTTAGAGCCAGACCACTTGTGGGCCAGGCACAGTCAAATACTGCCCTATACAATCCCATCTCCTTCCCATATGCCCCCTGTCGGTCTCCAAATGGAACAGACTCTGCCAGGATTCCAGTGCTGTATGGTGCCAAGGATGCACCATCATGAGACGGAAGTGGAATGGTTGGGGCAGTCTGAAGGTTTGACCTGGCGAGGCCCGCCAGGTCATCTCTTCTGCATGATCCCAAATCCCAGCTGTGGAATTGATGTGCAAATTGGTTAAGGATCCGAAAATCTAAGCGCACAATCCGGCCAGCTAAGTCTGAAGTGTGTACCACCCAAGACATCCATTAGGCAAAAATGTTTCAATATGACCGACCATTCCTCTCACAACGACCATGACAAAACCACAAGGGTTGAGGACCGGCATAGCCTTGTGATTACTGGAGGGGAATCGAGCCCTAGAGTATCCAAGAGGTTCTCGATTGATGAAGTTCTGGAGATTTTATTACCGGAATGGTGGGAACGGAATAAGGCTTCATAATAAATCCATGATAAAGCTTGGTAGACTGGCGGATAAGGAGCAAATGACCAAATGACCATCTTTGGGGCTTCAGTTAGACTACACGTGCGCATCATTCCAACACGGTCCGAACTGTATTTGATGGACATGAGTCACAACATGTTCTAATTGTCTGGAAATTGGGTATCCCGGTGTCCCGGTATCCTAATTGTTCCATTGCTTCATCATGCTTCATAATTATCCCCATGAAAATTGCCATTTGGGGCGCCACAATTTTCAGACACATCAACGTTATGGCCAAAGATACTTCTGAGCACGGCGAACCACTGCTGCATCCTTCGGCAGCAAACTGTCAGAGAGTAGGTCTCGCAAACGACCCGTTGATTTGTGATGTCTGACTACGAATTGTCCCTCCAGCATCCTCAAAGCATAGGCCAGTAATGAAAAAGAGATAGTGAAGCTTCTCTTGCCACCCTTGGTGCAGCATGCTTTTCTATGAGTCAGCCAGTAGCTTAACGTGGTATAGGAATCTCAGTGCCAAGAACGGTTGGAAAGCAAATTGACACCAGCAACTATCTTCAGATTCCACCCACCCTGCTACACATCCCGGCCATGTTTTCCTCCTGCGCTGGCATCGTAGCTCGTGTCCTCGAGATTCACGGATGAAACGTGAAAACTGCGCAAGATTCTGCCCAAATAAATTACTCAACGACTGTTGCAATGCAGCTGCGAAGGGGTTTTTGGGGTCCCTCGAGAATGGTCCAGTTCATCACTCCATCATAGCCCATCAGGTCGTGACTCAACCATTGGGAAATGGACAGCTACGGATGGACCACTGGGTGCAGCCAAGGCACATCGGGGAGTTCTCCAAGGACTGCGGGTGCCGGATCTCGCCTTGGCTCCGGGGTTTACGATGACCTTTTGGGTTGGCAAAAACATCGCGCCCCCACCCTTCAGCTTCACACCACGGGGCACTATGAAGTCCAAGCTGCTTGGCTGCACTTGAGGTATTGATCGTTGGGTGGGGAATTGCTGCAGTGATTGCTGCGTTTGCAAAGGCATTTGCTGCAGCATCTGCTGCTGCATGAGTTGCTGCTGCTGAAGCTGCTGTTGCTGCATCAGCTGCTGTTGTATTTGCAACTGCTGCTGGGAGGAAATGACTTGAGCTCTCGGAAAATCCGGCACTCCTGAGGAGATTTGCCGATCCCTTCGGACATTGTGTGGATGGAACCCTGAAGGATAGCAGGTGCACGTTGTAACTGGTTGGGTAATTCATCAACACCATCTTTTCTCTGTAAAATCCCATCCCCCCTAATATCAAATTCTCCCATATGGGCATGCAAAATGAATATATGCCCAATATTACCCAATACTAAACAACTGATGTTACCATAGGGTTGATTTATCAACAATTGGGGCTGGGATTGTGTTATGAATCAGTTTGTCTGAACATTGGGCATGCGTAAATCCACTGGTTAATCATAATTGTCCCAATTAAAATTGCCATTTGGGGAGCCAATCCACAATTTCCAAACACACCCAAGTCAGATATTGTTGGTTGCACGCCCCAAGCTGTACTCATATTATATCTCCACTGTATCCCCAGTCTATACATATACATATATATATATGTGTGTGTGTCTCTCTCTCTCTCTCTCTTTCCATCGCCGGTGCATATATGTATTTATATATTTATGTATACATATATATATATATCTGTGTGTGTGTGCGTTATATATGCAAGATACGCGTCTGAAAATAGCTCCCACTCCTGGAAGGGACATCTGCGTCAGCTGCGCCCTGGAAGACATCCTTGAGCCCATGACTTGGCGCGTCATCTGCTGTGGTGAAGCTGCTACTGAGGAGGCTCTGGAGGAGGAACGGGAGCGATTGCGGATCTGCCTTGACCGAAGAGGCCGCTTGATATGGGAAACAAAAATGGGCGGTTGTCATCCCACTATCAATGTTGTGTACCCATTTACAATAACCAGTTGTTTATATAATTCATGTTATTGGGTACATAACAATTGTCACATCCCACTATCAATGGGTTAGAAGTTAGAATCAGATACCTTAAAATTGTTATGTTGACCCTGATCATGTGGCCAATGACCATCCCCTCTGCTGGCAAATGAGCCATATTTTGATGTGTTGACCGCTGCAATATGACAACAATATGATGACCATATGAGAATATGATAACAATATGATGCCTTGCGGATGTTTCTCAAAACCAAATATCAGTGCTTTCTCTCTGTAAAATTGCATACTGCGATGATTTCGGCGGTCCCCCATTTTGGGAAAACCCATAGGCGCAGCATGGCAAGGATTGGATGAGATTGTATCAGGATGTTGGATTTGGGGTACCTGCTTTGGCATGAAAATGCTGCCAACGATGGTGGTGGCCCTATGGTTCTCCCCATTGTCAAGGCATCCAAGAAGCATCGCAAGCCGTTGAGTGAGCTCCTCTTGCCTGACAGCAGATTCAGGCAAAATCCACACCACCAAAAAAAAAAAACTGAGAGCTAAGAATAGCTCAGATATCAAATTTCAGACCCATGTGCGCGGGTTCGCGGGTTCACTTGCCTTGCTTCCTCCTCCTCCAGGGCTGAAGTTGCCAGCGAGTCCTACGTCTCAACAGTGCCCGGCGGATCGTTGGGCTGTGGTTGACTGAGTCGTTTGAAAAAATCAGGATGCCCATAAGTACTCACATGTTGCGGCATTGGAAAGATTTTTGCAATGGTGCTGCAAGTGCATCCAAAACGTGCATCATCACTAACCTCAATAAGAAGTACTAAGATTCAATAAGTTGGTTTTCAGTGACCCATGGGACCCATGGGACCCATGTTGCCACCAGACTTGGGACCTGGTGCCGTGGCCCCGTGGCCCCGTGGCCCCGTCCTTGGTGGAGCTCCGAGGCCGCGAGGCCTCCTCGCTGAAACGCAAGCGTTTCGACTCCGACTCGGGGGACAGCATCCTGCGATCTGCGAGGTGGTCCTAACTTTTGAAACTCGGGAGGTTAACAAAGTTAACAAAGTTAAGAAATTTAGGTGAACTCTAAGTTCTTTGGAATTTCGGAATCAGGAGTGCATCTGATGGGAAATCCGGGAGTTGTCTTTTCACCCATCCAAAAAATAGAAGTTGGTCCCTGTTTAAAAGCTAACTGCGTTGGGATATAATTGAAAGGGAAAATGGTAGAGGAACCTCGGGTGGATTCAACCATCCCATCTCAAACACATGGATTTCCGACTACAAGTTGTGCTTTAAACTTTAAACCTAACTTAGATCAAGACTGGGAAGCAAACGGTGTGATTCACCCCGCCTTTGGTCCAGAAATCACAAGCAAATGGCTTGTTGATACGTATTGCAAGTATCTTGCCTAGATGTGCATGTGGCAATGGTTTGGACTCGTTTTAAATCCCTCCAGATGGTAAAAATGTCTCACTTTTAGGTTCCATGTTTGTCTCACACAACACCGCCATCGCTGTTTGGATGCAACCATCTTAGGGTGATTCGGAAGAAGCTTTGAATTCCAACGCCGCGTGGCCGTGGCCTGAAATTTGTCATGTTTCGTAGGGTGATGTGTCAAATTAAAATTCAATGCTCTGGACCATGTGCCCCCGTGCCAAAAAAAGGCCTTCAGCACCAGCCCCCATCCTCAACTTACCCAACTCTTCTGCATCCATAGTGGATCTCTTGGACTCAGGCGACAGGGGCCTGAACTTGTCCAACTCCTTAGGCAACTGCACAGCACGGCCCTTCAAGAAGCCCAATGGTCCATCTATTTAGATATGGCTGATGCCAAAAGTGCTAAAGTTATGAACAGGTGAAGAGGCGGCTTCGAACTTCGAATGCTCTTCTCTAAGCTAGAACCACTGGTGCAAATATATCCTGCTACTAGTATTTACCCATTTGGCCCATTTGGCCCATTTGAGATCATTGGCCAACCATGGGATCCGGGCCCATCGGGGCTCATCCCACAGCAACTGCCATGGAACATTCTCCAGCGTTGACTCGAGGTCCCGGTGCTTGGAGGCCGGCGACAGGGGCCGGAAGCGTTCCAACTCGTCGTCCTTTCATGGTTTGTCCCAATGGGGTATACTCTCTCTATATATTAATATATATATACATATATTCATGTATACTGTTTTAAAGGAAATCCTATTTTATTGGGAGGATGATGAGAGTGATCATAAATCATTGGGTTTGGATAGTCTTTAGTAGACCACCCCACACGGCTGGTCTAGTACCAAATCTTCTAATCTTACAAGTAAACATGAGTAAGCATGGTCTTCAACGGCAGGCATTGCAAGATTGACCGTCCTGTTGGCGTTGACTGGACTGCGGTGATAAAGGCCTGAACTTGTCGAGCTCCCTGTCGTAAGGACTCCTTCACCAGGACCCATCGCAGCTGGGGCATTGACAGAGACTTGAGATTGGACCCCCATGTAGAGGGCATGACGATGCTAATATTTGAACATACCTGTGTTAGATATCATGTCTTTCAATGGTTTCAAGGTATTGGAACATACCAATGGGGATGATTGGGGATGGCAATCATCCCCAAGAATGATCCTAGCAAAAAATCCGGGATGGTCAAGCTATGTCAAGCTGCACCTCGAGGCTTCCGGTGATGCCTTAGCTAGGCAGGCGTCAAAAAGTTGCACAGCTGGCAGGTGATCACGCTACATCCTTCGTTACGTTCAGGTTCCGGCCTGCAGGTTCAACGGTCGATACTCCTCGCTCATGCATGCGCTGAGGCGATGTCCAGGTGAATCTTCGCCTGCGAACATGACATGCAATTGGATAGTTGAAAGGCCTGTGATCTATGCTTTTCTCAAAAAAACCTGAGAGATCTCAGGAGTATATCATGAACAAATCGATACATTCCAGTGGACAAACATCGCACCAAGATAGTGTGTCCCATGGAGGAGGGAGAAAAAAGAATCATTCAACGACATGTCCAGACCATCCATTGCTGTAAGCTGCTGGCACTTGCTGTGGTGGCTCCCTGCTGTCTGTTCACTGCTTGCTGAGCTCTCTGGTGATTATTTTTAGCTCAACCAGCATTACTGCCTGAAAGAAAAAAACTGTCGGGCAGAGCCTTTACATGCTTATCCCTTGCCTCTGGGAATTGAGCAAAACGTTGACCAAAATCCACCTGAACCTGTCTTCTCTCCCTCCTCAAATTCTTGAAATCAGACAGTCATTGGACAGTCCACTTTCCAGAAGTCCCTATGACCTATGATCCCCATGGTCTTGACACAAGCCGCATGAGCCTCGATGAGGTAGATCTGGAATTGTCCTCGGCGGCTCCGCACAAGTTTCCAGGACAAAAAATGGTTCTTGGAGTAAGTGAAAGTAAGTAACAGTAATATATATATATATATTATATATACATTTTATACATTATATATATATACATTATATATATATTATACATTAGAATGATGGTGGTCCCGTTTTCAAATATTTCAATGGTACCTGCTGCTGGGATCCCCACAGGCGATGTCTTACCGTGCTGGGCGAAGGCGATAACTCCACATCCATGGCCACAGGTGAGCGACGAGGGGAGGTGCCTTGGCAAACGCTGGTGGGAGGAAAAAAATATGATCTATATATATATTTATATTTATATATATATATATAGTATGAATATACATATATATATATATATAGAGAGAGAGAGTATGAATATACATATATACAGTATGCATATCTATATATATGACGGTTTGTCAAAATATCTTTGTCTGGTTTGGTTGATAAATCACAATTCCATGTATGCCGCTTAATATTTGAATTTAAAAAAATATGACTTATGGAAATAGTCTGAAACCCTACATTTTATCTTTTATCTTTGAAAGCTAAAACCTGCAGGAAATGCTAACGCACATCTACATGGAGTGGGTGCCGCTGCTAATCGTTCTGTTAGTCGTGGAAAATTCAAGAATTGTTAATCTGCTGCAAGGCTTGTCGTTGCCTTTGCTGGCACTGTTGCTTTTGTCAAACAGAACGGATAAACTCAAGTTCTCTGACGGCGACTGGGTCACATGTCAGCCAAAGCCGGTATAAATATGATATATATGTGTGTGTGTGTATGTATGTTATATATCAATATTATCAATATAATTATATAATCTCTATCTCTCTCTCTCTCTCTGTATCCATCCATCCGTCCGTCCGTCCATCCAAAGGGTTGTAGGATGTTGGACTTGGATCTTGGATTTGATTCGGTTGCATTCCGATCGGAGTAGATAAGATTGACCTTGGAAGATAGGAGTTTCTTTCAACTATATGAAAATGATATGTGTAGTTTTCCACTGAAACTTCTCCAAGGTTCTGTGCCGCTGTAAATCCATTAAAACCTGACCAAGAGCTGGACCACATGGTTAAGTGCATTGGACCTATGCCCATATACCCAACAACTTGGTGAGGCTCAACAATACCTGCAGCATGAAGGAACAGAGAAATGGAGCACAAATGGGGGGCCACACCGAGGATCGCCTGCTCGCATACTAAGTTGACCTTCTGCGGCATGCTAAGCTAACATGAGTGTTAACCATAGGTTAACCATAGGTTAACCATATATAGGTTAAGCACTTATCCTGCTCTTAGATGCTTTTGGGGGAACATTAGGGGAGAACTGGTGGCTCAAAGTCGTGGCATCTCCCGTCCGGCAACAGCCTGCGAGTGCATAGGAGAGCTATGCCCGGCACCTTGGAGCAACCCGACGTATTTTGGGAAACCACTGACATGAAAGACAAGAATGCGAGCATGAATAAAACCAAAAAAAAAACTATCTATCAACTTGACCAGCTAGGTGCAGATTTGTAGAAAGTTACCGGAGTTTTATGCCGTTACCCAGTCACATCAGCCAAAAGCTCCAAAAGACCCCGTGAATCCTGGGAGCAAAATCAGCATTTTTAATCCTCCGGTATTTTTGGCTGTGCAAAAATGGCTGTGGATATAATTGTTCATATTGTTTGGGAAAATGTTGTGAAAACCTCATTGGCTTTTCGCCCTCTGCATGCCAGTGGCGTTCTGAATGCTTGGAGGATGCAGCAAGTTCCTCACGAAAGCACGAATTGCTGCATCTCACCGGAGTCGAGACATGTCGCGTGGCTTCTTCCACCAGTTGAAATCAGCACTATGATCTTTACATATCTTTACTGCATTGCCTGCATTTGCCTGCCCATAAATTCCCATGAGAACAAAATTGCCTATTGCAAGACTGTGGGCCATAAGAGCCAAGTTTCACTTCCCATCTGTTCTTGCGTCACCGGTGTGTTGGGAGATGAACGGTGCTGGAGGCTATGTCCTTGGAGAACGTGACATCTTCAGAATCTGACAGGTGGATGTCTCTGCTTGGGAGATTGGCATGGCGTATTTCCAAATGTCTGTGCCCCCCTTCAGCTCATGAGATCAAGCATCTTGGTGAGAGAGAACTCGAGTGCCTCACAGCGGGCCCACAGCTTGAGGCAATGTGTTCAACATGTAGCAACCCAATCATCTCCGTTTCTCGTCGGTTATTTGTGGTTTGTAGAGCCCATGGCTTCACAAATTTGCCACAGTAGTATAGACATCTGCATGGATGGGTCCACCTTGGGGTACCCAAAAATGTACGGTCCGTGTCAAGCTAACAGGGTTCCGCCTGGGCGATGCATGCAACAGGTCCGAGCGCATGGATACACTCGCATCCAAAGGCGTGGCCTGCGGGCTGTAAGTGATTGATAAGTATATTGATAATGCATATCAACTCGGGTTTAGGGTTTATCAATGTTCGTCCTATTTTTGATTTGGGTTTATATGGTTACGAATCACTAACAACAGGGATGCACACCCACGTGATTTCTATCCACTGGCTCTTTGCGGGGTTGGAAATTCTTCAATCATGACCTCTGAAAAAAAATACCTCTTCCCTAGTTTTCCACCCTTGTCCCGGGCTACGGGTTGCTTTCAGCATTCCCGCAGGTCGTCTTCTTGGTTCCCATGTTTGGCAAAAAGTGAACTGTAGCACTGTAGGTGTTTGTTTCATAGTTGGGTGGTAGCCTTAGGTAGCCTTACTGCCTACAGAACTACCACAATGTGCACACCGATGTCTGGCCACCCTGCAAATCAGTCGATTCCAGCATATCCATCTTTTCAGCAAATTCCTAGCTTGCAAAGATTCAGCTAATGCAGAAGATTCCTATGTTCCCTCTTGCGGTACTGCGGTACCTGTATTTTTGTCCACCTTCTTGTCCTACAAATCTTGAAGTAGCATCCCCTCAGAAAGAAAGTTTCGAAGAGATATATAACCCTCCACATCCTTCTTCATCAAAATTGATGTCTTGATTTTCTTTTCAATGAAACTTCATCCATACGTACATTTCTGTCGGTATTTAATAAATCCCTGCTACTTTCTCCCCACATGGCGCAGAATTGATCAGGCCTTCCCCAGCAACGGGTGACTTTGGGGAGAAGTGTGAATTTGTCTGAAAAAAAGGCTATACGGTATACGCCCAAATGGCAAATTTAATGGGGAAAATGATGATAATCCGATAATCCTTGGAATTGGGGGTGCCCTATTTTCAGACAACCCACTTTGTCAGGAAACATGTTTGAGAAATATGTGACGCTCATCGGTTCAAGGGGTGGACCCCTAACTGTTGCGTTTTCATACGCACTGATTCATCTGATTTGTCTTCGAAATCCCAAGACAATTCAAGTCCTCTGCGTTCCTCATTTCTAGACTTGAACAATGAAAGGGACAAGGAAAAGAAACAACACAACAACAGTAACAACACCAAATGACATGCCCTGCAGCAAAGACCATTGAGCACTTCTTTTGCTATTACCTGGGATCATTTTATGTATACAATGCAATTTAAGTAATATATATATATAGGGGTGCCCGGGGTGCATGTTTATTCATTTACAGTATATTATTGGAATATTTGTAGCAAAAATATGGTTTGTCACGCCCCCCCGCCCAAACCCACCTTGGAATGGGGTGTTGCCGTGACGACCGAAGTGTACGGTGAAGGCCTGGTAGTGGGCCCATGGTCACTATAGTGAGCCACCCATGGGTCCATAAGGGTCCGGGTCCAATAGTAAAATGAACATCACTTACCATCAAAATAACCAAGAAAATCGTTTGCTCATGTTTTTGAGAACCTCTGCATGTGAGCCAACACGCACAAACTAACCTGTGGAAATACAACTCACAGCTGCCATACCCAGTGTCCAAGGTGCTCAGCTGCCATATTTCCTGGGGATGTGCTGTGCCGTCCTTAGCCACCGATTTGATACTGATACAACTGCACCTCAGACTCTCGGCCTCAGGGTCTGGGCCTCCCTGCGGGAACACAAAGCATCTGAGTGCGACTTTGGCGCACCTGACAGTGGCACCCGGCAAGAATTTTCTGCCTCAAATCTGATCCCAAACAATTGTCCTCCGCATGGCATGCCCAACACAATCCCCAACTGTCAGCACTGGTGACCGTGCCTGATCCGTAAACCTGAATCAGCACAGGTTCATTCACGGAGCGCGTGGAAATGCAAAACTGCATTGTTTTGCTTTACATGCGTTTTGTTAATGTTATATAATGCTTCGAAGCGGACTGATTGCATGTATGAACTGGAAAATGCGTAGGCAATTGTTGGCAAGCCTTGACAGATATGCCCGGTTTGGTTGCCAGACTTGCACCATCCATCATCATGCTACAACTCCGCTCCAAGCCTCCAAGCTCCAATTATTTTCCCCAAACATAAGTGCATATGTCTGCCATGGTGCATTTTCCCTTGCCACCGGCGAAGGATCAATGGAAAAGTCCACCGAAGGCCGGGGCGATGGGGAACGAGAGTGCCCACCCCGGCCCAACAATGCCTGTAGCACCAGGCAGGGCAAATAAACTCAACAAGGTGAAAGGAAAACCAAGGCGAATTGGGTAACTGGCAGGTGTAAAGAGATCTAGTCAATCTCGTTTGGGTTTGCGCCAGGCTATGTCTGGTTTGGTAATTCGACCTGTAGGAGTCCTATTCTTCAAACACCCAAGACATGTCACCCGTTGGAGCTCCAGAGTCCACCCTACCGGCAGCCTGAGAATGTAGAGGAGTCGCCGATGATTCCATTTGACTTCGGGGGGATCTCCTTGATGGCGGCGATCAAAACAGTAGGGGGGTTAGGTCCAGTAAGTGTCCCAATGAAGATACACGGGGTGATCACTTATGCTCACCCACATTCACCCGGCAACAATCTCCGCCACTAAATCTATTTGCCCAAATTTGCAATGCTGCCAAGATTCCATGCATCTGGATCTAAAGCAGAAGGCTTGTGTCGCAAAGGCAACGCCAATCCTGGGCATGGGTTGCACAGCAAGATGTTCACAACCAGACCCGTTCAAATTCCATGCGAAAAGGAAACCCACACATCGCGATGGCAAATGATTTTGTAACATGCGAACCAAACAAAGTAAAAATCTAAAAAATTGTCCTGTTGTCATGATCGGCGGCCCTGCGTGTGCCCGTCTGCCCGGCTCGTGATTGGGCAGCAAGAAAAAATTGATTGCATGTTGATGTGGTGGTTGCTAGTAAATCCATTCTCCTCCCTTTGAGCTGATTGTCCAGGAAAATGTTTAGTTGATTATCTATGCCCGCATGTCGCGACCCTTCGAGCTGCAATGACCTCCCAATTCCAAACAATGCTGGTGCAGCAACATCGTCAAGCACGAACCCCGTGTCAAAAAACAGTTTTTGGAGGTTCTATCTGGCATCGCACATCTAAACATTTCGTATGTTGATGATGCACATTTTTGTTTGCAATTTTTCCCGGCATGACACTCAAACAGTTGAGTTGTTTATACTGCCCAAACACCGACTGGTACTGTGCAAATTTCAGGGTTCCTTAAATATTTCTTGAAGCGTAGCCGCCAGTTTCCAAAATAAAACCTGTACATTTATATCAATGCACCACATTTGCTGGTGTTGTTCTACTAATATATGGATGTGTTGGCGCCAAAACATTGTCTTGAACACATCAAAAAACAATGCGTATTTGTGAAAAAAAATCATCACAAAACCCCGTCGTGAGATAGTTCGGGAACCCGGTTGAACCGTTTTGAACCGCTTTGAACCGTTGATTTATAAGCATGTTTCCGCCCAACTTATTTATAAAAACAAAACAACAAAGCAACAATCATCTTTTGGCACACTCACACACACAATCCAATATGATGCATGAACTGCCGGGGCCGCCCGTTCCCAAACGCAAACCGCATTGTTCAAAAAAATGTTTTGATTTCAGAAATGCCACTGGGCGGTTTTGTGCCGAAGAACATTGTTGGACGCTACACGTTTTCGTGGCACTTGCATGTTGCACACGCGAAGTGGCCCAAAAAATGCATCATGAAACTGGTGGAAACACAACGTCGTAAACAAACACGATCGGGATGCTTACAAGGATAAACTGGCAGAAAACATGCGTTTCAAAATTTGGTCAATGACAAACATGGCATCAACGTCTGTAAGAGGCCTTGTCAGTGATGACTTCCGCGAGCGACTTTATGATGTTTCAATTATGATGTTTCAAATGTTAAAACGTGTTGTGACTTGCATATTTCCAATTGCCTTCATCAAATTTGTGGTCCATTTGCTGTGGAAAAAGGATCAAAATTGGAAACTCGATTGTTTTACCACAAACGGAACTGTCATTTCTTGATCCTGGTCTTCTTGCACGGGTTTGCGCCTTTTTTTTTAAACCGCTAAATTCTCCAAGTTTATTGGCAACGTTGCCTGTGAGGGTGCTTCGCCCCACACCAGCATACAATTACTTCCGGAGCGTTGGAAAATTTTGTCTGCCAGTCTTGGTGTGTCTGTGTGTGTGGAACTGCCTCCGACTTGGATCAATCGGGAACATTTTGGAATTGGATCAATTGGACACATTTTGTAAATGCAAGAAACAGCACAGTAGCTTGACATATGCATGGAAGCGCACCAGAACGCACAATAGGGTAGCATGACGTATGTGCGGAGGTGCAAAAGAACGCACAGTAGCATAGCATGACGCACGCGTGGAAGTGCAAGAGAACGCACAGTAGCATAGCATGACGTATGTGTGAAAGTGCAAGAGGGCACCCATTCGCGCTGCATGACGCATGCGGGAAAACGCACAGTAGCGTTGCATGACGCATGTGTGAAAATGGAAAATGGCGTAGCATGTCGTATGTGTAAAAGCGCAAGAGAACCCATAGTAGCATAGCATGACGGATGTGAAATGCACCAGAACGCATAGCAGCGTAGCATGGCGTATGTGTGGAAGTGCACATGAAACGTCTTTAGACTACCCCACCCCACCCCCCACAAAAATATCAACACGCGCATGGCCCCTTACGAGCCTTGACGCCAATATAGGATTTTCCGTCAAATTCCTCTACATCTCATGAAATATCATTGTCCGTTAACGCTTTTTTGGGGGCGATATCGCTTGCCAGTATGTGCCATTATCGCTTTTGGGGATGGTTCTATCGCTTGACAGTGTTTCGTGCACATCTCTGACAAAAGTGTTTCTGCAATACTACAGTGGCCTTCAACCATTTTAAATGTAACTCATTTAAAAAAGACCGTGCGCCTGCCAACGCTTGACACACACCGATGTAACAAGCCCATGAAACGAACATTGCGGCTGAATATTTTCAAGGGCCCTGCAAACATTAACGCAAAGGAACAATCTGACGATTCCATAACCGATCTTGAATTTCTGCTATGTTTAGGTGGAATCCAAACAAAATAGAATCGCGAAAATTTCCAAGCACATTTTGGCTGTTTCTGGCTGGCAGGTCACCACTGTGGCGTTGGCGTTGCTAGCTCCACATTTCCACATGTTATCCCCGTCTGGTGTGCCCCCTAGGGTCTGGACAGGAATCTTAGCCAGCTGAAATTCTTGGTCCAACCCCAAACAATGCATGCTAAAATTTTCGCGCTGAGGTTTCAAAGGGATATTTTTTGGGAGTAAAGCCCGAAAAAAAATCCAGGTCCAACTGAATGTTCCCTAACTACAATTCAGTGCGCTTAGGTCGCTTTGATACAATGGCTTGTGCAACACGACCTGAGATAAAACTCCAAGAAATTAGGTTATGCTGATCCAGTGGAAACATCGAGGCATTGAGGTTGTTCTAATCAAACATATGAGGAAAAAAAGATCCCTTGGGTTAAATTCGATGCGTTGAGGTACGCATGACCCTTGTTTCCTTTTCACATTTTTCACCCGAGCGATCATGTCCACGAAGAGTCACGGGATCAATTTGGAGCTCCTCGGAGCTCAAACCCTACATCTGTTCTGGCTAAGTTCAAAACAGGGATGTGTGAGATGAAAATTTTGGGGTCTGAGGTTTTGTGGTGTGTCTTGGGACATTGGTTCAGGATGGGTTGGCACACATGTGGGGTATAATATGGAGATCTGCTCCGGGCAAAGTTCAAAACAGGGATGTGTGAGATGAAAATCTTGGGGTCTGAGGTTTTGTGGTCTGTCTTGGGACATTGGTTCAGGATGGGTTGGCACACATGTGGGGTATAATATGGAGATCTGTTCCGGCAAAGTTCAAAACAGGGATGTGTGAGATGAAAATCTTGGGGTCTGAGGTTTTGTGGTCTGTCTTGGGACATTGGTTCAGGATGGGTTGGCACACATGTGGGGTATAATATGGAGATCTGTTCCGGCAAAGTTCAAAACAGGGATGTGTGAGATGAAAATCTTGGGGTCTGAGGTTTTGTGGTCTGTCTTGGGACATTGGTTCAGGATGGGTTGGCACACATGTGGGGTATAATATGGAGATCTGCTCCGGCAAAGTTCAAAACAGGGATGTGTGAGATGAAAATCTTGGGGTCTGAGGTTTTGTGGTGTGTCTTGGGACATTGGTTCAGGATGGGTTGCCACACATGTGGGGTATAATATGGAGATCTGTTCCGGCAAAGTTCAAAACAGGGATGTGTGAGATGAAAATCTTGGGGTCTGAGGTTTTGTGGTCTGTCTTGGGACATTGGTTCAAGGTTGGCACACATGTGGGGTATAATATGGAGATCTGCTCCGGCAAAGTTCAAAACAGGGATCTGTGAGATGAAAATCCTGGGGTCTGAGGTTTTGTGGTGTGTCTTGGGACATTGGTTCAGGATGGGTTGCCACACATGTGGGGTATAATATGGAGATCTGTTCCGGCAAAGTTCAAAACAGGGATGTGTGAGATGAAAATCTTGGGGTCTGAGGGATGTGGGGTGGAGATCCGGCAAAGTTCAAAACAGGGATCTGTGAGATGAAAATCTTGGGGTCTGAGGTTTTGTGGTGTGTCTTGGGACATTGGTTCAGGATGGGTTGCCACACATGTGGGGTATAATATGGAGATCTGCTCCGGCAAAGTTCAAAACAGGGATGTGTGAGATGAAAATCTTGGGGTCTGAGGTTTTGTGGTCTGTCTTGGGACATTGGTTCAGGATGGGTTGCCACACATGTGGGGTATAATATGGAGATCTGCTCCGGCAAAGTTCAAAACAGGGATGTGTGAGATGAAAATCTTGGGGTCTGAGGTTTTGTGGTGTGTCTTGGGACATTGGTTCAGGATGGGTTGCCACACATGTGGGGTATAATATGGAGATCTGCTCCGGCAAAGTTCAAAACAGGGATGTGTGAGATGAAAATCTTGGGGTCTGAGGTTTTGTGGTGTGTCTTGGGACATTGGTTCAGGATGGGTTGCCACACATGTGGGGTATAATATGGAGATCTGCTCCGGCAAAGTTCAAAACAGGGATGTGTGAGATGAAAATCTTGGGGTCTGAGGTTTTGTGGTCTGTCTTGGGACATTGGTTCAGGATGGGTTGCCACACATGTGGGGTATAATATGGAGATCTGCTCCGGCAAAGTTCAAAACAGGGATGTGTGAGATGAAAATCTTGGGGTCTGAGGTTTTGTGGTGTGTCTTGGGACATTGGTTCAGGATGGGTTGCCACACATGTGGGGTATAATATGGAGAGCTGCTCCGGCAAAGTTCAAAACAGGGATGTGTGAGATGAAAATCTTGGGGTCTGAGGTTTTGTGGTCTGTCTTGGGACATTGGTTCAGGATGGGTTGACTCACATGCGTGGTGTAACATGGAGAGCTGGTCCGGAAAAGTTAAAAACAGGGATCTGTGAGATGAAAATCTTGGGGTCTGAGGTTTTGTGGTGTGTCTTGGGACATTGGTTACAATGGTTCTGGCGCAAAACATATCTGGATAAAGTTCAAGTGGCCAAAGTCCTGTTTATCCTTTTGCAGTCTCCAACAAACTTTGCTCCGAGAAGTTCCACACTTTTCTTTGGTTGCAACCCCGGTGTCGCTGAATATTTTTCCATGGGACAAAACTGCTGAACTTTGAAAATGCCAAAGTTGGGGCTGAATAAATGTCCTAGAGGGATAATATTTTCGGGCACAGGGTCAGGAAAAAATCCTGCCAGCACAAACCCGGTTTTTCATGTTCGT